TTAAAAGAGGTGGATGCAAATAAAACAGAAGTTGAAATGAAAGAACTAGTAATAACAACAAAAATGGTAGAAAAAAGAGCAAAGAAAATCAAAAATTGGTCAGCACCAGGTGAAGATGAACTGCATGGGTTTTGGTTGAAACATCTAACTGTTATACACCCACTCATTGCCAAGCAGTTCAACAATATACTACAAGGAGGAGAAATTGAAAAGTGGCTAACAACTGGGAAAACCTACCTAATAATGAAAAATCCAGCAAAAGGGGCAACACCAGGTAACTACAGGCCAATTACCTGCTTACCAACAACTTTCAAATTACTAACTGGTATAGTAGCTGATGCAGTACAACAGCATCTAGTTGAAAACAATCTCTTTCCACCTGAGCAGAAAGGAAACCACCCCAATAGCAGAGGAACAAAAGATCAACTCCTAATAGACAAAATGATCTTGGAAAACTGCAAGAAAAGGAAGACCAACCTGAATGTGACATGGATTGACTACAAAAAGGCATTTGACTCTCTGCCACATGACTGGATAATCAAGTGCCTAGAAATAACAGGAGTCAGTAGAAACATCAGAAAATTTGTGCAAAGATGATGGCACAATGGAAGACACAGTTGCAGATCAATGGTGAGAGACTGGGAGAGGTTAATATCAAGAGAGGAATATTTCAAGGAGATTCATTATCACCATTACTATTTGTTATTGCACTGTTTCCTCTGTCAACAATACTGAATAACTCAGGACATGGCTATCAAACATCAAAAACATCTGCAGACTATCCCACCTCCTTTACATGGATGATCTGAAGCTGTATGGAAAAACATCATCTGAAATAGAATCGCTGCTCAACACTGTCCGTATATATAGCCAAGATATTGTAATGGAGTTTGGCTTGGACAAATGTGCCACACTTACTATCAAATAAGGAAAAATAGTGAAAACTGAAGGAATCAAGATGCCCCACGAAAATAACATTAAGAGTCTGGATGAGGAAGAGTACTACAAATACTTGGGTATCCTTCAAGCTGACAACATCAAGCACACTGAAGTCAAGAAAAAGATTAGAGGTGAATACATCAAGAGAGTGAAGAAGATCTTAAAGTCCAAACTCAATGGAGGAAATACCATAAAGGCAATCAACACCTGGGCAATTCCAGTCATTAGGTACACAGCTGGAATAGTGGACTGGACTCAAGCAGAACTAAAAGCAATGGATAGGAAGACCAGAAAAATAATGACAATGAATCATGCCCTTCATCCACGCAGTGACATTGACAGACTTTATCTACCAAGGCAAATAGGTGGGCGTGGAATGCTACACTGAAGTTTTTAAGAAGAGACTGGACAGCCATTTGTCCGAAATGGTGTAGGGTTTCCTGCCCGAGCAGGGGGTTGGACTAGATGACCTCCAAGGTCCCTTCCAACTTTACTACTATACTATTACTACTGTACATCAGATGGTTGAAGAAGAAAAAATGGCTTTGGAAGAATATCTGAAGAACAATGATGAAGATGCACTGAAATTAGTATATCAGGAAGGCTTACTGACTACTGGAGAGACCAAACTGGCCTACAAGAAAGACCAAATGAAGAACAGAATAGAGGCATGGGAAGACAAAGCACTACATGGCCAATACATGAAAAAAATAGCTGGGAAAGCAGATAATAACAAGACCTGGCAATGGCTAAGAGCAGGAAAATTGAAGAAAGAGACCGAGGGACTAATTCTGGCTGCACAAGACCAAGCCTTAAGGACAAATGCATACAAAGTCAAAATTGAGAAGACAGCAACAGACAGTAAGTGCCGCCTATGCAAAGAAGCTGAAGAAACAGTGGACCACTTGGTAAGCTGTTGCAAGAAGATTGCACAAACTGATTACAAGCAGCGGCATGACAAAGTAGCAACAATGGTGCATTGGAAGATCTGCAAAAAATATCATTTGCCTGTAAGCAAAAACTGGTGGGATCATAAAATAGAGAAAGTCATAGAAAATGATAAAATTAAACTGCTCTGGGACTTCAGAATTCAAACAGACAAGCACCTGCAACATAACACCCCAGACTTAACAATTGTCGATAAGAAAGACAAAAAAGTCTGGATAGTGGACGTGGCAGTGCCTGGAGACAGCAGAATAGAAGAGAAAGAACTGGAGAAGATAACAAAATACAAAGACCTACAAATAGAAATAGAAAGACTGTGGCAAAAGCAAGCAAGGGTAGTACCAATAGTAATAGGCTCCTTGGGTGCAATCCCAAAACAACTAGAGCACTACTTGAACACCATTGGCATTGACAAATTCGCTATTAGTCAATTGCAAAAGGCGGCCTTACTAGGAACTGCTTCCATCCTGCGACGATGTCTGTAATACCATCAAACATCCACATCTCCCTATCCCAGGTCCTGGGTAAGGACTCGATAGGTAGACAAAATGCCAAATCCAGTCTGAACATCTGGTTGACTGTGCAATGATCCAAAATAATAATAATAAAGTTCTTCCAGTCCAACCCCTTGCTCAGGCAGGAAACCTTATACCATTTCAGACAAATGACTGTCCAGTCTTTTCTTAAAAACTTCCAGTGTTGGAGCATTCACCACTTCTGGAGCAGGTTGTTCTACTGGTTAATTGTTCTAACTGTCAAGAAGTTTCACTTTAGTTCTAGGTTGCTTCTCTCCTTGATTAGTTTCCACCCGTTGCTTCTTGTCCTGCCTTCAGGCACTTTGGAGAATAGCTTGACTCCCTCTTCTTTGTGGCAGCCCCCGAGATATTGGAATACTACTATCATGTCCCCCCTCATCCTTCTCTTCGTTAAACTAGACATACCCAATTCCAGCAACCATTCTTTATATGTTTTAGCCTCAAGTCCCCTAATCATCTTTGTTGCTCTTCTCTGTACTCTTTCTAGAGTCCCAACATCTTTTTTACATTGTGGTGACAAAAACTGGATGCAGTATTCCAAGTGTGGCCTTACTAAGTCATTCTAAAGTGGTATTAACACTTCACGTGATCTTGAATCTTTCCCTCTGTTAATGCAGCCTAGCACCGTATTGGCTTTTTTGGCAGCTGCAGCACACTGCTGGCTCATATTTAAGTGATTGTCCACTAGGACTCTGAGATCTCTCTCACAGTTGCTATTATTGAGCAAGGTATCACATATACTATATCTGTGCATTTGGTTTTTCTTACCTAAATGTAGAACCTCACTTTTTTCACCATTGAATTTCATTTTGTTAGATAGCGCCCAATGTTCAAGTCTGTCAACATCCTTCTGTATCTTAAGCCTGTTTTCTGGAGTGTTGACTATTCCTGCCAGCTTGATGTCATCTGCAAATTTGATGAGTTCCCCATCTATCCCCATTCAAATCATTGATGAAGATTGTGAAGAGCACTGGGCCCAGAACCGAGCCCTGGGGCACCTCACTACACACTTCCTTCCATGTAGATGCAGTTCCATTGAGGACACATGCTGAGTACGGCCAGTCAGCCAGGTACAAATCCATCTGGTGGTGATGCTATCTAACCCACATTTTTCTCTTATCAAGTAGTAGGTTGTGATCTACTCACTCGAATGCCTTACTGAAGTCCAAGTAAATTATATCCATAGCATTCCTCTGGTCCACTATTTTTGTCACCTGGTCAAAGAATGCAATAAAATTTGTCTGGCATGATCTGCTTTTGACAAACCCAGTATTGGCTTTTGATAATGATTTTGTTTGCTTCTAGGTGTTCACTGATTCATTGCTTGATTATCTTTTCCAAGATCTTCCCAGGTATTAAAGTCAGGCTGATAGGCCTGTAGTTTCCTGGATCCATTTTCCCCTTTTTTGAAGATGGGAACTACATCAGCTCTTTTCCAGTCCTCTGGTAGTTGCCCTGTGTTCCAGGATCTTTGAAAGATATAGTTCATTGGTTCTGAGATCATATCTGTCAGTTCCTTCAGATCCTTGTGGTCCTGGTGATTTGAACTCATCTAGGGTGGACGGGTGCTCACTTACCATTTTCTTGCCTATCTTGTGTTTCTAATCTGTTTTTTACGGTACTGTTTTTGATAGGTTGGATTGTTTTTTCCCTTTGTGTAAAGACAGATACAAAAAACAAGTTGAGTAGTTCTGCTGTCTTCCAGTTGTTTGTCACCTTCTTGCCACTTTCTCCCACTAGTGGACTAATCATTTCCTTAACTTTTTTCTTGTTTTTTAGATTTTGAAAGAAGTTTTTTTGTTATTTTTGACTTTTGTCTCAAGTCTTAATACATTTTGAGCCTTAGCTTTCCTCACTTCACCTTTGCAGACTCGGGCTATTTGCTGATATTCTGCCTTAGTCATGTGCCCCTCTTTCCACTTTTTATAGTTGTCTTTTTTATCTTTCAATTTGTCAGAGAGTTCTTTATGCAGCCATGTTGGTTTCTTTTGAGAGCTGTTATTTTTCTTCTTTGTTGGTATTGTGCTAGACTGGGCTTTTATAATTTCACTTTTCAAAATTTGTTGGTTATGCAGTCTGATATGGTCATTTTCCCTCCTATGTAATATCCTAACCATGATTTATTATATGTTTGTTCTTTGGCAAGTAAAGGACTCTGCATACCAGTCTGCACAATAAATATGTTAAATGTGAACAGGTGAATTGACTCACCTGTCTCAGTCCTGCTTGTCAACAGCTTGTTAATTTTTATTTATTTATTATGTCTTTTGTCCTGAACTCATTCTGTTATATTTTTAAATTTTAGACTCATATTTTTTGATCTAATTGTAATAACCATGCTATATAAACATTTGTAAGGTTGTCTATATGCATATCTTGATATTTGTGAGGACATGTAGCTACATTTCAACTTGACACCAGTCTGGAATTAAAAGTAACCTCTCAACAGGTAAAACATACACTAATGACTCTTTAAAGAACCAGGACAAGAAATTAAAAAATAACAAAGAGAGTTAATATAGAAACTAATATCTAATTGAGAGCTCTTTATTATCAAAATAGAGAAGGAGAATACATTTATCTCCAAACTGCACATTCAGAAACACAGTAGAGGAAACAGAATAAAATAAGTCAGTTGTGTTGCTGAAAACAGGTTGAAAAAGATAAGACAAAATTTGAATAGGGAAAAGAAGTAAAGAATATAAAAATGTAACATTTTCTTGAGTGTATTGCTAGAATGTATAATATGTACTCAAAGTGCATAGTAAAGTCCAGAGGTTTTCAAAGTGCCAAACATATCATTATTGAATTAGAAAATTTAATATACTAGTATGAGTATTGCTCAGCATAACATTTCAAGTATAGAATGCAAATATTATCTAAATTTACTATTACACCAGAAAAGCCACTGAATATCTTCTTGTAATAAAAAGGTCATTGAGCATCCAATTTTTTTCTTAAAGAATGACTATTTCTTCAAAAAGTTCCTGGATTAACAATGCTGATTTGAAGCCCATTAATGAAAATTACTTCCAACTGTAATCAAAAAGTGGTAACTAACTTGTCCTACATTAAGTGTGACTGAAAAGTCTGGCAATCATTGCTTGATTCTAGTGAGTGAATCCCCAAATCTATTTTTGAATAAGGTCTAAAAATTCACTTGTTTACTTGTTACAGTAAACCATTTTAATATGAGTATTTTGTCAGATGTAATATTATTATACCAGTTGTAATGCACACATTCCTCAATCATTTTCCATCTACATATTCAAAAGAAAGGCTAAAATAGCATATGAATCAACCTATTCAACTATACCTCTGAACAATGAAGATAAGAGCAACATACAGAAGACATGGCTATATTAATCTTGAAAAAGAAAGATTTTCTTTCAAAAAGTGACAGGAATCACAATCATTCCACAGATTTTATATATTACATCTTGTTTTTTTCTGCTGTTCCTAAAATTCTATACATCATTGAAAAAGACAAGTTGACACTAGTATAAACATTAATTTTTCCTTCTACCAATTTACAGAATAAAAAGTTGTGTTTCATTGCATCTGCGGATGTACAGGTTCATATCTTCTATCAATCATCTGAAAAATATTAAAGCACTTTTGAGTGTGTTCAGAAGACTAATAAAAATAATTCTACAAATCCTTCCACATACTAAAGAACAAAGTCCAAACTAGCCATGACAATAATAGATTAATGACTGAAGTATCCTTAATCATACTTAAAGCAGATTCAGTAGAATATATGAGTTCGTAATTGTATAATGCTTAGCTCTTTTAAATAAATTTGCATTTTATTCATTTTCAAATCACTGTGTTTGTATATATCTTATATCTTCTTTTTTGTTCCCTTGATTTCAAAGCGATAATCAGAATGCTTTTAAGAAGTTTTCAATTAAATTATTTTTATGAATATAAGTAGGTGAATTGAGCAGAAAATAGTTCAAATCTAAAATGAATAGTTGAACATATAAACAATAAGGGCAATTAATTTATAATGAATAATGAATAAGTAGCTTGACTTACTTGTGATTGTGACGCTTCAAAACATGTCTAGATTTTTTAGTGCTGATCTTGTGACATTTTGTTTTAAGTTCAGATGGTGGATAGCTGTTGAATCCATCTATTTTGACCCCCACCCAAAAGCACAAAAGTAAACATTTAGAACATACTTGTTATTGTGATGCTTAAAAGCATGTCTTGATTTTTTTAGTGCTGACTTTGTGACTTTTTGTTACAAATTCAAATGATGGACAGCTGTTGAATCCATCTATTTTGACCCCCCCAAAAAACAACATAAGTAAAGATAAGTAAACGTAAACATTTAGAACATTATAAATAGTATAAAAATGCTTTCATACTGAATATTTTGCAATATTCTTTTCAGCATTAAATTTACAAACACAGAAAACATTTATACATGAACTGGGTCAGCTTTTTTATATTTAAGGTGCAATAATTGTTTAAAATTCCAATTTTGTTATTTTAGAAATAATTTTGGCCTTCCTTGAAAATTCTGTTTGAGTCAATAAATGAGAAGTAGAAAGATAAAAGTTAACTCCATTTATTAATTAAGATGTATCAATTCCCTCTAATACTAAAAAATAATATTTGGTATTAATAATATCAGTCTGAGATGATATTTCCTCTTTTTCTCCCATAGGTGGGAGAATTTGATAGAATTCCCATTCCAACTTTTTAAAAATTATACACAGCAACTATTCATGAACAGAAGCGTTCTGTATTCCAGGGGAGGACAATCCATGACCCGTTGGTCCTATGCCTCCCTCCAAATTGTCTTTGCTATATGTGATGATTTTCAAAATGCCAATTTTGGAAAGTTTGGCTTAATGTACAGTTTATACTTTTTTTAAAAAAAAATAAACCCACATTATTCTCTGTGTAGAATGAAAATATAAAGAAGATGATTTAAAAAAGATTAATGCAATTAATTTGAGTGCTATTGCACATTAAAACAATAACGAAGAAGAAAAACATTTGCGATGGGGAAGGCCTTGCACAGATTAAAAACAAAAAATACACACATTACAAACACTTACTCTGAAGAAAATGTAGAAAAGGTTTCAGGAACATAATGGCGTAGTTTAGTTCAGGCTTGTGAATTCTGCCAAGCTGAATTAAGTGCTGCTCCAGGGGGTAACTTGCTAGCTCTTGAAGCTCTGTGCTGTCATAGACCCGTCCCACAGAAACTATCAGCAAGGCGTAGCCTTGACACTTGGCTCTCAGAGACACTTTCTTTAACACTGCTTTATCCCATTGACTTGTTCCACCCACAGATATAATAATGATAACCTTGTGTTCCCTTGGGTATGGGGTATGTGAGAAAATGTGGTTAATTGTCCACTGTATAGCATGGCCAACAGCACTTTGACCATCCATTTGTTGAACGTATTCCTGGATATATTTTTTCATGAGCTGTGTTGTATTGAAAGTCACTAAATCAAATTCTTTCTTTACAGGTATCACTTGGGTTTGTGGTCTGAATGCTGGTACACCATGGCTCACCAAAGCTATTCTGTCCCCAACAGAAGAAGTTGCAGGCTGAGAGGAAATATCAAAATGGTTCAGAGCTCTGATTAGAAATTCCTTCAGTTTCTCGAACTCGTCAGGACCTAACCTGCTTGAGCTATCCAGAATGAAAGCAACATCCACATATTCCCATGGTGGTCTGGTTCTTCTGTTAAGTTCACAGGCAGCATCTGGTTTGCATTTATCTGGAAAAAAACAGAAAGTTAGGTTTCTCTTTACAAAGAACAAGATAATGCTCCAGGGACTAGTTTTACTGCACACTTAGGAACAGTAGTTTCAACAGAATTGTTCTCAACCAAATTATTTGCACATATTTCCAGGATTGTGCTTGTTCCATTTTTATACCATGGTATTTTGACAAAGAAACTAACTGAAGAGTTCATGTGAGCTTTTTTTTCTATTTTCTATTCAAATGAAAGTTGACAAAAGGAATTTTCTCCAGTTCTCCTGGCAGAAGAACTACATGGAGAATCAATGTGATTACTTATTATGATATTTGACTGGAACTGTGGAGACCTGGCTGAACCACTCCTATGGAGCTCAGTTGTTGAGTCTCCCATATATACTGCCTTGAAAAGAAACAGAATACTGTATATAATTTGGTATAAAAACTACCCCTCATTTAAGTGCATTTAATTAGTATTAAAAAAATAAAACAATCTGGACATATATTCAAGTAACAATTCATCAGAAACCCAGAGATGCTAAACTCTTTCAGGCTTCTGCTTCAATACAAAAATGATCACCATCTATTTCAAATATATGTGTAATATTAGCATTCTTCATACCATAGCAAAGTGTGCACAGTTGGAATCTTTTCAAAAATGGTGAGTAATCTCCCTCAGTGGGAATGGTGATGACTTGAAATTGTCCAGAATCATCCATCTAAAAATTTTAAAAAAATTAAGTTTGCTATATAATGCATTATTTATTTATTAAGATTAAATCATTTTGCATCAGGAACTCCACATAATTTACATGGTACTCTCTTCTCCTGTTAAAGTAAAACATAAGATTTAAAGGTTTACTTCCATTCTCCACCAGTGTACCTGAGAATACATGCATATATTTTCAGCAATTACAAAAAAGGTTTAGGTAAATATACACTTCAGTATGAAAATTGTTTTGATATGAGAATTGCATCAAAAAAAACATACCGCAGTCTGTCAGAGGATCACATGGTTAAAAAGGAGAAACTGAAGTTTTGCTATTTTGTGGGTGGAATTGGGCTGTCCTTATTCCACCAGAGAAATGTGGACCTGCTCCCACTACAAGTGATGTCATGCAAACAAAACAAACTGCTATGTTAATCTATGTTTGCAGGTGTTTGTTTGTTTGTTTCCCACTTGTATTATTTTTAATAACTCAAGGCAGAAAACCTGTCTAATACACCTTCCTCCTCCTATTTTACATATAACTCTGTGAAATGGGTTGGGCTGAGTGATATTGACCTAAACCCATCTGTTTTCCATGCCTGGGATTAGTTCTGGTTTCTAGCCTAGTGCCTTAACTTAGTGCCAGAGGACCAAATGGGTTCTCTGGTGTTATACTAATTAGTACTAAATTAGACTGATTTCTGTTCCTACCCCTCTGTGTGCTGGTTATAAAGTTGATTTTGTAGTGGCATATAGGCAAAAACATTAACATGGTACTAACTGAAGAATCCACTCAGATAGTATGAAGTCTTTCTGGATACCTATGCCTCAATTAAAGTCCAGAGACACATATCCAATAGATTGGTGTAATGTTTTTTTTTTTTAACAAGAGGATAAACAGCCTGGAAGAATGCTTGAAAGCTATGCACTGGAAAGGATCAAAATGAATAATGAGCATAGAAAAAAAATATAGACAAGAAATTTTTAATCATTTGGAGAACAGAGAAATTGTTTAGCAAGCAAGAAATGGTCTGAGTGTTCGTAGTGATTGGAGAGCTGCTATTGGATAGCTGTAACATGAGATAAAGAAACAATAACAATCAAGGTTGACTCGGTAAAATGAGAACCTAGATCAGACATATTAAACACAAGGCCTGGGGGCCGGATGCGGCCCACGAAGTGGTTTCATGTGGCCCACGAAGCCATCCTGGAAACAGTGAGGGAACAGCCCCCGCTGCCTTGGCCCTCACCCAGGCCAGCCGGGAGCCAATATACAATTTTGTGGTGGCCATCTTGGCTCTTGCCCTGGTGGACCATGCCTTCGCACCCCCTTCTGCCAGAGACCCTCAGATCTGTCCTACTCCTGCCCAGGCTCCGACAGGCACCCTTGACGCGAATGATGTAGAACTGGCCACGCCCACCCAGTAGGCTGCACCCACTCTGGCCACACCCAACCAGCCCCCCAAGGGCAACCGCAATGCTGATGCGGCCCTCAATGAAATTGAGTTTGACACCCCTGACCTAGATTGTTGGGGACAATTTGCTGACTTTGTAAAACACTTAGAGAGAGCTGTAAAGCACTATGAAGCGGTATATATAAGTCTAATGCTATTATTATTACTCTAATTTAATATTATATACTTTGTAACTTGTTATTTTGAGACTAGCCCACAAATGTAATGCATCACACATTTTTGATCATGGATAATCTGTGCTCTCCTTATGATTCAAGACTAAAATTAATAGAACAAAGGAATTTTATCTTCTCATACCTTATTTCCTTATTAATTTAACTTGTTAGAAAACATCCACACGAGCAAAGTTATAGCTGTCAAGTTAGGCAAAACACACTTATTACCGGATATAAAAGAAGTGAAAGATTATAATTTTAATCTCACCAGAAAAGCACGATTGGTCTCAGGTATGTTATTAAAAGTTAAAATGACTGGGACAATCTCTAATGCACTGTATTCAAGGAGTGCTGTGTTGACAGAACTTGGATGGTCGGACTCTCCATTGCTGAAGAAGACAGCAACTTTCCTCACATTAGCACCTTGGAGAGTTCGCTTGAAGAGATGCCTGGCCACAAACCTCATGGATCCACCAATGTCCCGTCTGTTGGTTGCTCTCTGGAAAGAAAGTCTGTTGAGCTCCTGCAACAACTTGTTCTTGCTTTGGAAATCTGAAAAGCGGATCAAGTAGTTGGTGTTGGAGCTGTAAGACACAACAGCCACTCTGGCTCCCACAGGACAATTGCTCTCTCTGATGTTCATTTGGTTCACAATTTCTGTGACAATCTTTTTCATCTGTTCAAACATCTGGAGTGTGGTATCCTGGGATATATCCAAAGCAAATAGTAGTTCCGTAGCATATGCTGGACATTCTGCAGTTCCTACGACAATAGCACAGATGGTTCATTGAACCAGACATTTTTAAAAAAAGGGAGGGGGAGTTTCAAAAGATAACTAATTCTTTTCATCTCCCTATCCTATTTTCTTTGCAGCATGCCACCTATGTGACCACAAGCAATGCTAGATGGTATTTCTCTTGCAAACTGTTCACAATGCAATGTCACATGATAAGTCAATATTTGAATGTATTTAAATGAAGAACGAAGCTTACCTTGGTAGCAAGCTAAAGAAAAGAGAGAAAATAATGTGATATTATTGTTTAGCAAGAAGACAGATATTTCTACTACATAAATTATTAAATATATTTTTCTCTCTCTTACTTTACACTTGGATATCAATGGTTTGAGGACTGTTTTTAAATGCACAGGTTATTTATATAAAGCAAAAATTTGTTTGATTTGAATGAATCTGATAATGACTATAGTTTTCCCTTTCCTAATGCTGTCTTATTAAAAAATGATTCTATTCTATTTGTTTTTTGTTTTATTATGCATGTTGCTAGCCATGGGCACTGTTCAAGTTATTTCTATGTTATTCAATGTATTTGGCTTTATTTTTCCTTTGTTGTTCCTAATGTGCTTATTTTTAGGTTGTGCAGCAATTTTTCCATTATGGGTGCGGGGATTGAGATTTGAGATTTGAGATTTACTAAACAAACAATACAGGACAACTTTAAAAAAAAATAGAATGAAAGATAAGCCAGAATTGAAGGAAATGGATGAATAAAAAAGATGATATGATTTTAAAGAAAAATCTGAATATTTTAAAATATCTATAATATTTATCTACTGAAATGTTGTGCCAACAAGTATTATTCACTAGAGAAAAAAAACAATATAGTTTATAGAGGTTCAGAATGAACGAACATCAAGAGAGCCAATTTGGTGTAGAGGTTAAGGTGCCAAGCTAGAAACTGAGAGACCAAGAGTCCAAATTCTGCCTTAGGCACAAAACCAGCTGGGTGACACTGGACCTAGTCCCTCTTTCTCTGGATTAATTTTGTAAGAATAGGCTAGGCCATAAATAATATTACAGTTATGAGAACCTTCAAAGTAGCCTGGACCAGATTGGTATCCAGCTGAGTTCCTGTAATAACAATGACAAAAGTCACAAAGGAAAGCAATATGGCATCTCCAGGACAAACATGGTCAGAGTAGAATTCCAAAAGCCAAATTCCCCAAAAATAGACATGGGCAGAACAAAGAAATGGATGACAAGTATCTAAGTCTGATTAATCTAATTTTAAATCTGATTATATTTACATCTATTTACATTAAATAAATTTAATAGGATTATTTTACATGCATTTATTAATTTTCTTTTTCTTTTCCAATTATAATTTGGTAGCAACTTTAAGAGCAGATAGGAAGCAGTTTTATCTGTAAATTTGGCAGAATTGTCATAGTAAACTATCAAAGATTTAGCTTTTCCAAGAAATTGGCAGATATAGTCTGTTTGTGTGGGAACATTTAACCATACAGAAAAGAAATTGTGTAGAAACAACAGTAGCAGAAAAAAAGCATGGATGGGTTGTTTTTTGTGTGTGTTTGGATTTTGTCTTTGCTCCTTCTAGCATCATAATATAATAATCCACAGCACCATAAACTTCTGAAGTTACACTATCTTAATAGCCCTTTTGAATGTTAATATCTGCAGCATTGAGAAACTCTGGCTTCTTTCAATTTGAGGCTGCTCACTCATATGAAACCTAACTGAATAGAAAGCACTCCAACTATTTGAATGTCTGCACAAGACAATTATTATGTTACAAATTGATACTTACAACTGTGTTTCCGAATATAAGCTATGAGCTCACATGGCTGTAAAATGAAAAAAGGAGAAATTAAAGACTATCAGTGATCTGAATAAAATGTTTCTATAAATACTTTTTAATATATAACTTTGATATAGTAAATGCTTACTGAAAAAGAAGCCATGCCTTTAAATCCTTTGTTACCCTGAAAGGAGAGAGGGAGAAATAATATATTTGAATAAAATATTAAGAACTGTCTTTTCATGCATAAGAATCATAGATAACGAAGGTGATAGGGGTATAATAATCAGAGATAAACAGTGCTTTTTTTCTAAAAAAAAAAAAAAAAAAGTGCCAGAACTCACACACATCATACAACCCACCTTGCCTATCCTACAAGGTTTCATCCAAAAAAGGTGCCGGAACTCCGTTCTGGGCGTTCTATGAGAAAAAAAGCCCTGGAGATAACTATAGCAAAATGTTCTCATTCAGCCTGGCTATTTGTTACTTTTTCTATAAGTTGGAATTATGAAATGAGCCATTTAGGAACTATAAACACAACATACTTCAAAGCCAAGCTGTTATATAAACTAGGACATAAGAAATATGCCCCCAGCTATTCTAACATTCACATTCACTGTATGAACATCTGAGATTAATAACAGCAAGATCCAAAACATCACTTCACAGATTCAAAGCATAATAAAAAAAATCATACATGCAAGGATAAAAATCTTTCATTAAGTTCACCACTCTCCCATTATGTTGTATAGGTCTACAATATAAAGGTAATCATCAAATAAATGTTTGTGACTTAAACCAACCCAAGACGGACAGAAGCCCTGGAGATAACTATAGCAAAATGTTCTCATTCAGCCTGGCTATTTGTTACTTTTTCTAAAAGTTAGAATTATGAAATGACCCATTTAGGAACTATAAACACAACATACTTCAAAGCCAAGCTGTTATATAAACTAGGACATAACAAATATGCCCCCATCTATTCTAACATTCACATTCACTGTATGAACATCTGAGATTAATAACAGCAAGATCCAAAAATATAGTGCATACATTCAGAAGCACCAGCCAAATGTACTTAGTAGGAACTAAAACAACCATGAATTTACAATTGCAATCAATGTAAGAGTCATTTGTAATAGTTCTTGTGAGTGAAACTTTTAATGTAATTTTTAACTCATGGTTAATATTCATGAGTTTAATTTTCTGATCTTGAGGGAAGGGTGAATTTCCAATTGAATTCAATAGTCAGTGCTCTGTTAAACGTTAAATAATTTTAAATAAATCAATATATCTATCTCTTTAATATACCCCAAGCTCTTTAAGCCAACCAGCTGAATCATTTTTTTCTTTTATAACAGATATCACTTCACAGATTCAAAGCATAATAAAAAAAATCATACATGCAAGGATAAAAATCTTTCATTAAGTTCACCACTCCCTCATTATGTTGTATAGTACAATATAAGGGTAATCATCAAATAAATGTTTGTGATTTAAACCAACCCAAGACTACAGAAGCAAAATTAATTTTAAAGACAGCAGCAAGTTATCTTTCAATGTGCAGATTATTAGAAATAATAATAATAATAACAATGATCATATGAAATTATGGGCTGTCCTAGGAGATTTTATTTTGTCTCATTTTTATTTTGCAGGGAGGCTAGAATTTGTTTTAATGTATTAAAATTTAAAAACCTGTTCAAAGGTGTAAAGAACTATTCTTGTCTATTCTTCACTTAAAACACTGGGGTAATTGCTTCATTGGTTTCAGCAGAAAACTGTAGATTACAGCATGACTTGAGGATTTCAGCGACCCAAACCAAATAGCTCCAGTGATACATACCACCAGGATATTATCCATCCTACACCTAAGAAATAGTCCATCTACTTGAGCCCAATCAGAAAAGAATATGTGCACTTGCTGCACTGACATAAAAAACTTACTTTACAAGCTACTATTGCATCTTTCTGCAATACAAATTGCCCTGCAAATAAAGTTAATTACAGAAAATGGTATAAATTTGCATACCCGCTGACCTGGAGGACCATGCTTTCCTAAAGTTCCTTTTTGGCCGATGGCACCTGCAGGACCCTGAAAACAATGACATTGGAGAAACTACCATAAAAAAAAATTCAGCCATCCATTTTGGAAATTTCAAGTGAGTGATGCTAATGAAATCCAGTAATTGATCTGAAGTGATAAGTTAAAGTTACCATATAACACTGACAAATAATTCTGATTCTTTATGGCTATCATTTAATGAATCCAAAGAAATTTGGATTTGTATCTAATATTTACTGAATTCTCTCCATTCTGTAAGCCATTTTTGCACTCAAGGTGAATCTTAAAAAGTAGTTTTTATAAAAGTTCTACAAAGTGCACGGAAGCCCTAAAATATTTTTTTTTGCCTGCATGTTTAACAGTTTTATATGTCATACTGCAACAGACCTTCCTTTGAAAATAGCATTTATAGATATAGTTGGATTTATTATTAGTCATAATATCTTCTTGACTGTGAATCACTCTTAAATAATTTAGACTGTGAAAAACATTAATAATAATAATTACTTGCCTTTTGCCCTTGGATCCCTCTCAATCCAATTTCTCCTGGAATTCCAATATTGCCAACATCACCCTAAATTAGATAGATAGATAGATAGATAGATAGATAGATAGATAGATAGATAGATAGATAGATAGATATAATTTTGAAAATGAAATTATTATTAGACGCTTCTGATTGTTACCAGATTTATAAAAAATACCTTAACAAAGCAACCTTATATTTTCATTTATCTGGAAACCTATCAAGCTGAGTGAAATATATCTCTAAATAGACAAAAGTTGCAAGAATTTTTAAAGTACCAAATATTTATTGAAACATTAAATCCAAACCTAGCACAAAATCTATGCTACTACTAGAATCAAACTGCTATCATGCTACAACTATACTACCAGGATTTTCCCCTTCAAACCTCATGCTGATTTGCTCCAATATCATGAAAAATGCCCCCTGTTATGCGAAGATTCATCCAGTTCATCTGGGGGCTGTTTGGTGTGGCGCCTGGTATAAAAGGTACTTTTCTTTTTAGTTGTGTTTTAATGGATTATTATGAAACATGTAGAATTAATGTATAAGATAGGTAGCCATGTAAACTCTGTAAATAAATAAATGTGCATTAAAATGAAGATCAGGGCTAGATGGGACCAGGAAGAGAAGCTACATTCAGTGCTTGATGAACTGATAGTACTGGTCATAGATCTGAATAAGATGATACCCACACTGAATCACTGAATTACTTTGTTAAGACCTCTTTATACTTCCCAAAAAGATTTTGTCTGCAGGGCTAAATAACTTATTTTTTCGACCAAAAATAGACTCTTCATTGTCCAATTTTATCTGTATTCTATGCAGTTACACAATATAACCAGAACAGTCTTTTTTTATTTTCATTTTTGGAATGCCCATTACCTCCTGTCCTACGTCTCCAGGAAATCCTTTTTGCCCCTATAACACACAAATGGGAGAACAAAATTTACTGTTGAATAAAGGATGCAACAAAGATAAAAAAAAACCCCAAGCATCTCAATGGAAAAATGCTTATCAGATATTTCTGTTCTCCGAACTCAATCCCTTCACTTGAATGTATATACTTTTTCTCTATTGTGCCAGCAAACCTGTTGTCTATTCAAGGTTTTATTCAACATGAAACATGATTTATTGCATTGTAAGAAGAAGAAAAAAAGACAAAGAAAAAGAGCCAATTTTCCCTTTCACAAACTCCTGCTAATTCTGAGACAGATCTGCAGAATATGTTATGGTCTTCTAGCATTCTATAGTTGGTTGTGGTATTTTTCCTTAAAATAACTAAATAAATAATAATTTATTTCTTTCTCCCCTTTTAATGTTTTCTACAATCTAATTCTAATTATTTTTCAATTTATTTTAACATTATATTATTTTTTAACCTAAACAATTGAAACCATATGTGGCTCCATCATTTCTTGGTTTAAAAATTGTCACAAATCCTGATATAATTACTGTCTCAATGATCTGAGACAAAAAACCATCCCAAAATGGATTTTGAATCCCAAAATAAGTTTAACATTGTTTGAAAACTGCAATATTTTCTCTACTCAAAACAAATCTAAACATCTTATCGTATCTGTATAAATGAATCTAGTTGTGCCCAGATTGCATTATTTGCTTTGGCCCTCAACATATCCAAAAACCCTAAATTTGGTTTGTAGTCATCCAAACATTTTCACTACATTGGAATGCTTGATAATTCAGCATGCAAACATACCAAAACTGCTACACAATTTCTTGCCCAGTTTTCCAAAGTGAAAAGATAATAAAGTATCACACTTGGTCCATAAAAATATATTATATTTTGTTCTTATCTCTAAAATAAAACATGTTTTATTTCTATCCAATCCAGTTATGACTGGTTTTCATTTAAGAGTCCTTACTTACTTACCTTTATTCCTTTATTTCCCAGCTTACCATATCCAATTGCACCAATATCCCCCTAAAATAAAAGCATAACTTGTATTATTTAGGATTTTTGTGCTCACCATAACTATACATTAATAAAAGGTGGATATGACTATTTTATCAAGTTTTCCCATTGCATTTGGTTATAACAAGATTGGGAAAGGTTCCCCAACATGAGTGAGAAAAGAAATTCTTCTGCATATTTTTTCTACTAGTGGTTAATCTTTGAATTTCTTTTAAAGAAGAGAAAAGCGTTGAAATTTAGATGAATGATGAGTGGTATTATTGTACTTATTTTGTTAACAAAAGGCAATCTGTAGTACGAATATCACAGTTTTCATAGTCATTATCTAACAACTGCAGATTCTTGAATTTTCCAGTCCTCAATTACATTTATTTATTTTTATTTACTTATTAAATTTATGTGTAATTCATCTCACTCTGCAATGGAACTCTGGGAGTCTTACATTGCATGTAAAGAAAATATGAGAGAAATTCTCCACCTAGAACCAGGATCATCCCTGGAGAGATAGTAAAAAAATTGAATAAGGTGTCCCACAACTGCATATACAAATAAGTATCTATTGCTAAATGCCATCTTGACTTTTCACCCACACATACACACACACAGAGAGAGAGAGAGAGAGGGAGAGAGAGAGAAAGAATAATAGTACTTCATGGGTCATTTTTATGAGTATTGTTTTTATCACCATTAGAGGGGAAATTCCATCCCTGAGAAATTATTGAAGAATTTTCCAGATCTAATGCTTGTTCAACCCAGTCTAGCTTTTTACTGAGAATTATGAAAACAGCAAATCAGCAAGAGTATAAAATAGTAGCAGGGATGAACATTAGATGTAAATAAATTAATACAAACCCTTAGTCCTCGTAATCCAGGTAATCCTCTCTCCCCCTTCATTCCGGAATCACCAAACTCTCCCTATAAAAGGAAATAAAACTGGTGCAGCGTAAAGTTGAATCTAATTTCATGTCATACTATATTATGGAAGAATTGTAGCAGCACATTCAATTTTAGCTTTACACTAAACGCCAAAGATACCCAGAAGATCACATGAGTAACGTAAGAAATAAGATCTGTAAAACAATCTTCCTCCTGCTTGTAAAAAGATGGGATTTTCCCCTCCACAACTGGTCAAGCAAGAGAGCACTTAGTCAGATATGGTAGATTTTTAATTATTTATGCCATGCAAGAATGGCAAACCCCCTCCCCCCCTTTATAGCAATTCAATTTTCTATTTTGTGGATTCAGATTTCTTACAAGCATATTGAATAGTATATAAAGATTAAATTAAATTTTGGGTGGACTGTTTTAACATTGCTGAATGATGATAGAGGGAGAGAATAAATATATATGTTTTGGCAATATTCCACTGGTTCCTATCATCCATATATTTTGGGTGAAGAAGTTTTGCTTTTGGATGACATTCAAGAAGCAGGCTTCAATTAAGAATGGGATGGGATGGGATGGGATGGGATGGAACGGCACAGGACAGGACGGAATAAAATAGAACAGAACAGAATAGAATACATTATTGGACACACAAGGAATTTGTCTCCATTGCTTAAGCTCTCAATGTACATACAAGCAACAAAGTAATATATAAGATATCAATAGGAGAAGGTAGTAGAAAAGATGAGAAGGATAATAATAATACAGCCACATTACATGAGTAAATATCTTCAGACATAAGACAGTGATAATGAGGTGTTCAGCAGAGTGATGGCACGAAGGAAAAAACTGTCTTTGTGTTTAGTTGTTTTGGTATGCAATGCCCTATTGCAGCATCCTGAGCGGAGGAGATGAAACAGTTTATATCAAGGATGTAAGGGGTCTGTAAATATTTTTTCAGCTCTCTTTCTAACTCGTGTAGTATATAGGTCCTCAATGGAAGGAAGGCTAGTAGCAATTGTTTTTCTGTAGTCCTAACTATCCGTTAAAGTCTGTACCTGTCCTGTTGTTTTTTTTTTTTTTTTTTGCTGTGTCAAACCAGTTGTAGAAGTACAAATAACAGTCTCAATAATCCCTCTGCAGAACTGTATCAGCTGCTCCTTGGGCAGTCTAAGCTTTCTGAATTGATGCAAGAACAACATTTTTGTTGCGCCTTTTTAATGATGGTTCTAATGTTAGATGTCCATTTCAAATCATAGGAGATTATAGAACCCAGAAACTCAGATCTCTACTGTCTCTGCTGTTGATACTATGATTAATACAAAGAAATTTAATAGTCTTACCACCTAACCAACCTTGGCAAATCTTAGATGCTAAACAAGGTCAGCCATGAGCTGTACTTGGATGGAGGACAACCTAAAAATTCCAGAACTGGGAAGCTAAAACTTGATTCTTAGAAGAAGGCAATAGCAAACAAAATCCATATTATTGGCCAAGAAAACTGTATTTAATATTATTTTTCCATTCCTATATATTATAACATTTCCCTTCTGTAACATTAAACTGCACAGTTTGAGAACAATTTCTACATGTTTCCAACCAATTGGAAGGCAATGATGTTATAATTGGAAACAACCTTCTGTTGATAGCCTGCTTTTCAGACAGAGGACAATTTCAAAATAAATATGAACATGTCAAAAAGTACACTGAGAAGGAATATAGAGATACTCTATTGTTTCTAAGGACAAGTAAGATTATATACCTTATTCCCTCTGGGTCCCAATTTCCCAAGAATGCCTACTGGACCTGTTCTTCCTGGAATACTCTAAAATGAAACAAGGCAATAAATCCATCTGGAGTTGATTAAATACGTCAGTGCTTCATATAAAATTCTTCCAAAATCTGCTGCCATTATAAGAATTGCAAGCTTAAAATCATTCAATGGAATTTAATAAAACTATTCTTCCATGCTGGAGCAAGGTCCAAATGTCAAATGGGGGATATTCTGTTCTGCAAAATAAGTCTCCCTTTTTTTCTTTCCACTTCCCATTCTACTTCAAGAAAGGTTTTGCTTTGAAAATTTCTTTCCAAGGGAATAATAATTTCACTGAAATTATTCTGGATTGAGACAAGTGCTCCCCATACAACTATGTATGGGGAGAGGAGAATGTTCTATCGTGCATAGTGCAAGAACGTCTCCAGAGATCTGCAGCCTTCAGTCCTAAGAGAAGACCTCATCAGAAAACTCCTTTCAGAAGGCTTTTTCAGATTGTGAAGGATGGACAGGTAACAAGTCTTCAGAGTTATGGGAGATACATAAGAGAAATACATAATGCCATAACTATTATTTCTAACACATAAATAAGTTCAAAAGATTCACAAGCTCCAAAAAACAGAGTAAAAAACCAAAAAATTCTACAGGGATAGAACTTTTGAAAAATTAAATAGTGGATTTTGGCACAGCATTACCTGAAGCAGGGAGAAACAAAAAAACATGTGAGGGGACAACCCACTCCACCGTGAAACAATCTAAAAAAATCTATTGTACTGAGACATACTGGGAATCCTTCCCTTCCTGGATTTCCTTTCATTCCTTTCATTCCCTGAATTCCTTTTTCACCCTAGAAACATTAAAAAAAAAACAGTATTAAGTTCAAACAGTACACACAAGGGATGCAGACATAAGTTTTATTTCTACTTATTCATTAAACAATTCAGAAACTAAACATGAGTTTCTTGGAATTCCGTTACTGTTATCATTTTGACAATTGTTGATAAAACAATGACTGGAAATAAGTCAATGAAATCATTATCAAGAAATGTTGACTCAATTAATTGGGGATATTTTGTTTCTTCCTGTGTACATTTCTTTATCTGAAACATACTCCATCTTACGACTGTGTTATCAACTGCTCCTTTCAAACAGAATATTTTAAAACTCTGCCTTATCTTAGAAAAGCTAAGCAGTTAGATCTAATTAATAAATGGATATAAGACTACCATAAAATCCCAGGGCTATAGACTGAACTGAGAACATGAAAAAGAATAATCAAAGAACTAGTTGACAAATTGCTATGAAAATTACATGATTTAGTCAAGAAGATTTAACCTCATTAGTCAGTCAAGAAGTTGTATTTTTCCTTAGAAGACATGTTCAGTGCATTTAAAGAGGAGTAAATGTTAGAAATCTTGAAGAAATCCAGCATCTTCCAAAGCTTTCTTTACTTTGGAAAAAGTAACAAGTCATGGAGGTAGAGCAAGTCCTTTTTCAGACAGTTGTACTTGACTTTTGCACTTTGAATTTTTGTTTACAAATAAAAAAGTAAGCACTTCAAAAATTTACCTGTGGGCCCTTAAATCCTTGATCTCCAGGAAAACCCCCTGGGCCCTGCGCTCCTTTTCTTCCCTGTAAGAACAGAAATGATTGCTTAAGAATTAAATCCATTAAAAGAAAGCCTAATTCATAGTCAAGCTAAACAAAATAATATAGCATGTTCAACTATTTTGCTACTTGGACCACCAGGAGGCCATACTTTGCCAGCTTTGTCCTTATTGGAGTCCTCAAATACGGGTAGTCTCTGGGGTTCAAAACCTCTACTGGGAACTGAATTCACAAATCTTTGCACTTTACACAACTGTGTGTAGAGCATTAGCTTTAGGAGCCATCCACATCCTAGTGCTTGGAATTGCACAAAAAAATTTTCTGTATCTTTACATTTTTTGAAGAGTAGATAGATCAATTGATAAATATGAGGGTGGGTAGGTAGGTAAGTAGAATTTAAAACCATACAGCATTGGATTCATCCCCGTCGCTCCGTATTGTTATCACTAAATCCAGAAAAACAGTTACATGATATGCAAATACATATTTTTGTCTATCCTGAATTTCCTGTTACACAGGTATATTTTAAATTTTTATGTCTACTGTTATGACACTCTACCCCATTTTTTTTCACAAGAAATAATTCAGTTAACTCAAGAGTTTTCTTTAACTTACACCTTTTAAAATAAGCTGTCATTATATATTTCTTTATACAGAAAGTCCTCCAGCCTGAGCCCTATAATTAAGTCAGCCTTTTCTGTATTTTATCCAGCTGATAGATATATTGATATATTGGCTGTGTGCTGGCTCAGTTGCCAAATGAGATTTGAGACTACTGGAGTGCCACAAAACAGGGTAGACTCCAGTTATCTGTCCCAGTTCCTGCTCACCAGAGGTTTAAAAGCATGCAAATTTAAATAAATGGATACCACTTCGTTGAGAAGGTAACAGTGTTCCATGCATCTCAGTGTATAGTCATGTTGGCCACATATTCAGTTTTCTGACAATGCTGGCCACATTAAATGTCTTCGGGCAACACTGGCTCCCTCAGCCAAGAAATGGATATGAACACTGCCCACTAGAGTCAGATATGACTGGACAGGGGAAGCCTTTATCTTTGCCTTTATCTTTACATATATACATACTGTAAGGACTTTAACTAACCACCCAAGAAAGTGAACTCTTGAAACAGACACTGTCTCAAAAGGATACTTTTATTAGGGATAAATGACAGTAGAGAAGTCAAGGCGAGATCTGGGGAAAATCCCGCGCAAACGGTATAGTTAAGAAAGCAATATTCTTCCTCCCACCAAAGTCATAATGTCCATTTGAAATTCAGCCAATCCACAGGTGGTATGATGTGCAGATAATGCATCTCAAGGTCTTCTCCAGCTTTCGTTTCTCTGTAACCATCTCCCTGATAAGGGAGACGTGTTCATTTCTCAAGGATAGAGGCAGGAGAGGGAAAGTAGAAAGTGAAAGTTATCCCAAGCTCCCCCTCCCCCCAGCAGAATGGCAGGCCCAAAAGTAGAATATATACGCAAGGGAAGCCCAGAGGTTTTGGGGACCTGATACATACATACATACGTACATACATACATACTTATACTGATCTCTACAATATATGCCTGATGGTGTGATTGATAAATAGATAGCTAGTCAGTCGGACAGATGGACGGACGGATGGACAGACAGACAGACAGACAAACAGAGGATTTCTGGCCTGGATTAAGGACTTGATGAGAGGCCATCAAGGTTGGTTAGACTGAGAAAAGTGTCACTTTTTGCCATGAAAACTGCACAGAACGAGTCAAGATGAACAATATGTCCTTGAAATCATTATAGTTTTATACTTATATTAAAATAGATTTAAGAATATATACAGTATATAGCTTTGTTCGTTTTCCCTGAATTATGGTAATCCTCCTGATTTATCATTATGGTTAGTCACACAATCAACCAGATGTTTAGATTGCATTTATTATTTCTATACACCTACTAAGTCCTTCCCAGGACCTGAGATAGGCAATGTTTGATGGTGTTAAAGATACCATTGCAGAATGTAAGCTGCTTAAAATAAAGCTGTCTTCTGCAATTAGACTGATGATAATTTTGTCAATGCTGATGGAATTCAGGTGGTCCTCCAGTTGTTTTGAGTTTGCATCCAAGACACTGGTTACTATTGGTACTTTCTTTTGCCACAGTATAATATAAAATTATTTTATTTTATGGTACCACCAGTTCTTGCTTTCAGACCAATGGAATTTCTTGGAGATATTCCAATGCACCATTGTTGCTACTTTATCATGGCATTGCTTGCAGTCAGTCTGTGTGATCTTCTTGCAGCAACTAACCAAGTGGCTCCCTGTCAAGTCTTGTTTGTTTTTCCTGCTATGTAATATTTTGTTTTGCCGTGTTTTTCTCTTTCTTTCTTTCTTTCTTTCTTTCTTTCTTTCTTTCTTTCTTTCTTTCTTTCCTTCTTTCTTTCTTTTTTTCTTTCTGCCTATCTATCTATCTATTTGTATTTCACATTTCTGCACTGTACATCTCCTTCAAAGAGGGATTCTGGGCAGTGTACAATACAGCATCAAAATATGAAACAGTATTTACAAATTAAACAGCTAAAATTAAAATTTTAGAATGAAAACATTAAAAATTATAAACATTTTCAAGGAGGCAAGAATATTTTCAAGAAGGCAATTTTAGCCCTTTTAAAATTAATTGACAAAGACAAAGAGTGGCTTCTCGTGGCACCAACCAACTCCATGACTGCATGCTCCTTTGGGCTCCCCATGCACAGCCCAAGAGTCTTTATGTTCTTCCTTGTTCTTTATTACTATTCAGTACTAATATCAATACCATTCAGTACCTTTGTTTTGCAAGAGAGGCTAGCATATTGCAATGAAAGAAAAAATAGTGTATTAGTTTTCACTTAAACATTTTTAAAGGTATACATACCTGGGGACCGTGGGGACCTCTTTTACCTTGGTATCCCTGATATAAGAAAATTAAACAAAGTTAGAAACTGTTCAATGTTTATACAACTATACTTTGTTACAGTTATTTACTTCCAAATAAGCTTGCACAGGATGGCATTCAGGAGACTTCCCTTTCAATCTGTTTCAAGATACTACACTGAATGGTGCAACAGCATGTGGAAAACAAAAATCTTAAGAGATTGGGTAAAGACACCTACGAAGGGAGCAGACAAATAAGAGACCATATAGAGCAGTGGTTCTCAACCTGTGGGTCGGGACCCCATTTGGGGTCGAACAACCATTTCACGGGGGTCGCCAAATAACACAGTCTGCCATTTTTCCCCCCTTTTCCTTAGCTGTGCTACTCCCTTTTATTCTATTGGCTTTTGAAAGCCAATAGAATAGACTCTCTTGAATAGAGTCTAATTCTATTGGCTTTCAAAAGCCAATAGGAATTGTCCAGGCTGTCTCTGCCCTGCTGAGCCTGCCAAAAGTCCCATTCTGCAAACAGTGCTGCACCAGTTGACTAGTCCCTGATTTACGACCGGTTGGGGGTCACAGCATTAAAAAGGTTAAGAACCACTGATATAGAGCCTGCACTAGATAGTGGATGGGGCAAGAGGTTCAGAAGAGAAACACACAGTATCTTGGGTTATAAAGGCAGGTCACAGAAAGGAAGTCCTGTCAATCTAGCTTTATAATAAAGTAGAATTAGCTCAGCTGATTGTGATTCCCCACTGATTTACCTATCCAAATATCAGAGACAGAGATAAGTTGGTTCAAATGATAAAGATGATCTTTAAATAATATTTCTTTAAGTAAGGTATAAGAATTCAAATCATTTAAGGCAAGGATAAAGTACCCATGCCACTCTATAAGCTATTCAACTACAACTGACATCATTATTCATCATTGGCCATATTGCAGCATTACTGACAGTATGGCTACATCTGAAGAGCTTCAGATTCTTCATTCCTAATTTAATAAATTAACTATGAATGCTAGAAGTATGACTGAGCTAAAGAACAATCTGGAGATGGTGAGTTTCTCTGGGTTAATGCATTATATTTAGCCATGGTTTGTTTTACCATACTTACTGAGTGCACCACACTTCCCAACCCTATAAAACATATTAAACAAAACCCAAACTGGTCACATTATAATTTAGTACTACGTGAGTCTTAATACTGAACTCTTCATACAACTATACTTATTTGAAAATCTTGGCAGGCTTTGCCCCAGAAGCTCAATATTCCTACTGGCTTACACTATGGTGATCTCTGACCTTGTATTCAGATTAGCTGGACAGTAGCATTGTCAGCCTCAACAACCACAATATGGTAATCTCCAGCAAATATGGAGGGATAGCCATGGTGAAGGATTTGTTGAATAGGTGATAAAAGCAATAACAGGTGGAATCCCGTCTTGCTTCTCTGTCTAATAAAAGCCCCCAGTCTCACGTACATGCAACAATTTTTCTAGCCTCATTTTTGAGGTACAATAACAGGACTGTTCTGGGACTTTGATTTGCCGCTTTTAATGCTGGCATGTGGGGAAGAGCCCTAAGTATGGCAGGCAGCACCCTGAATTCCCAAGTTCATACTTCCATAATTTTATACTTCCTATTTCCATTAAAAGGAATTAGTTGCTACTTCACATGAGTATAATTTTCACACAACTGAGTTGTATTTAGGGAAGAGAAATATTTGAGTTGGCAGGTTCATTTTGTCTGGTACTATGAACAAATTTGGAAATGGCCTTCAATATGCTATCATGAGGATCATTCATAAGGACAATTGGTACAGAATCTTCTTCCTTTGGTTCTTACCTTGGTTCCTTTGGATCCTGGATCTCCTATGGGGCCTGATGGTCCCTTTTCACCCTATAAACAAAACATTGTATTTGATTTTGAATTAAGGAAATTACTTTTTTCCTAAATTCCATTCCTTAACCTATAAACACTCTATTAACCTTCTGCAATTATGCAACCTCCATTTGTGGACTAAATATCCTATTTTCAGCATTATGGGAAATTTATACATCATCTGCAGTACAAAAATGCTTTGAGAAATGCAACAGGTGGATTATGGATGGATGGATGGATAGATAGATAGATAGATAGATAGATAGATAGATAGATAGATAGACAGACAGACAGACAGACAGACAGACAGACATAGTTGATATAGCTAGATAGACAGATAGGTATAGATAGAAAGAGAGATGGGAGTGAAGATAATGGCTGCTGCTACACATTCAAAGTCCCATGCAATATTTGTGTGTGTCACACGTGTGCATAAAAATGTGGTAGAACTTCAGTTGCCCAGGTCATGATCATCACTGCCACTTTTTGTCCCTCCTGCCCTTGGTGGATAGATAGTTGTATTATTTTATATAATATGTATGCTTCTCTACTTAAATAATTTAAAACCAAGACACCAACAGAAATCTGTTTGCTTTGAACAAGTGGTTCAAAGGGCAAGTGGTTACCAAATCTATACTAGTCTTCCCTAATATCAAACAACATACTATAATTTTATGGAAGCAACTTTCAACTAACATTCCACTGATCAAGATATATTTTATAAAAAATAACCGATTACCTGTCTTCCATATCTTCCTTTAAAACCTTTTGATCCTGCTGTGTTATTATTTATTCCAGGAATACCCTGGATATATTGTGAGAAAAAAATGTTTATGTTATTTTGTCATTAGGCATGTTTCTGAAGTGTAAACTGAACAGTACATTAACATCTTTAGTAAAAGATTAGACTGATATACTTTTGTTAGCCCTTTTGAAGGCTGTACCAGCACAGTTGAATCAGTATCTTAAAACTGCACTATAAACCAAATGGATCATATAAAGAATAAGAAGAATAAGACTGGTACCCCTTACATGGTAGAGACAGAGGAAGGGCTTATATAATATACATTTGGGACAGATATTCACAGTAGTTGTCTCCCTAGGGACAAATATACAATATTTTAAAATTGCAATATAAATGTATAATATTATTGGCATATTCTCTTTTACAAAGAGGAACACATGCACATTAACATTGTAGACCTAACATTGTAGACCTAAGGAGATTCTCTGTTAATTCTAACACAATTCTAATCTCTTAATATATCTATAATATACAAAGAAGCATAACCAGACCGAATAAGTAAGACCAAAAATAAAGTGAATGTCCTCAATTGTCTCTTATCAATAGCTTTTAAAAAGAAACATTATGATACACAAAAGCACTCATCCTTCCCCAATACCTTTAACCATAAAACAACTCACGGCATTCATTTCCTTTTTTAAAAAAAAAAACAAACCTTTACCTGATCTCCTTGGAAACCATTTTCGCCATATTCGCCATGGATTCCCTTGATTCCTGGGCTGCCCTTTAAAAAACAATACCTATGAGAGATGTTTTGAGCAATAAGATGTAACTGAGTCTTAATTCATACAAAATGGAAGCAATTTCTGGCAGAAGGCCAGGATAGATGAAGGTGGTTGGGCATCCTCATTTCTGTTTCTGAGAGGAGCATCTACATCCATCCCTCCTTTAAAGCAAATTGCCATGGCCCTAATTCTCAGTGTGGGTACTGGCTCACTATTAGCTATCAATGTTTATACCTTCCTCCATTACAAAGAGAAACTGAGATCATTATAGTATGGATAGACATAGAACAATATGTTGGAGTGACAGTGACAATATGTTGGCAGTGACATTAATTCTAGGTTGGACCTCAGTTATTATATACTTTATACCAGGGGTAGGCAACCCAAAACACTCAAAGAGCCACTTGTTTCCCACCGAAAACAAAACACTGGGAGCCGCAAAACCCTTTTGATATATAAAATGAAGATAACACTGCATATATCCTTTTTTACCTTTATTATAGTTATGTGTGTGTGTGTATGTATGTATGTGTATGTGTGTGTGTGTGTGTGTATGTGTGTGTGTGTGTATATATATATATATATATATATATATATATATATATATATATATATATATATTAGTAAGAATAGTGTAAATAAAAATATGATTCCTGGGTGAATCCATAGTCAATTACCAATAAAGCGTGAACACCAGGAATATAATAAACTATAAAAGTTTAATACCATCACCGATCACCAAGCTTTCGTCAGATGCTTCTGACATCGTCAGGGTTAATGCTGGTCTGTGGGAGAGTGCCTTTATAGGTGAGCCATCATTTGCACACGGCTCCTAGATCTTGTCGTAGGTCCTAATTGATTTAACTGCTTTTTAATTACGGCTTCCATACTGATGACTCCTCTTTTCTTGCTTTTACTGCTTGTGGGTGTGTCATTATTTCCCTCTACCTCCCATTGTCTTGAATTAGGGAGGTCCTTTCCTCCCCTTTTTTGGTCATTCATATCTCTAAGTTGTTCCCTCTTCACACCTCCATGTCTCCTACCTTCCTCCTTCTTCTGATCTTTACTTGCTCCCCAATTGTCATCCCCATTCTATGGGGGCGCACTCTCAGCCTTTCTCCCCATCCCTTGCTTTCCATTTCCCTCTCTTTGGCTGCATAAACTCCGTTTCTGTCGTTGCCATTCCATCTGACATCTACTTGCTCTTTCACCCCATTATTAATGTTCTTGGACTCCACGTCAGACTGAATCCCTTAAATATCTCCTTCCTCCTCACACAAGCTCTTGTGTGCCCTCCTTTTTTGAATATGTATGCCTGGTTCCTTTATATCCCTCCCTCCATCAACACAGTGATCTTTTTTACAGTTTCTATCACATTCTACCCTTATTTGCATTTCCCCCCCATTCACACTGCTCTCGATCTCTATATCCTCTCGGGCGTTCCCATTGGCGCTCTGTTGTTTCCGTTGGTGGGCTGTCATCACAGGGCAAGCCGGTCCCATCCTCCTTCTTTCCTGATGCTGCTGGATCATCACTCTTTTGGGTTTCGGGGGGTCGGGAATGATTGCAACGACTAGAGCGCATAGCGATGGCCCAATACCAACCTAAATTCTGGGCCCGCTACGTTGACGACACATTCATGGTCATCAAAAGGGAGCATAAAGCTAACTTTGTGGGCATACTCAATTCGGTATACCCTGACATTCAGTTTACGGAGGAGGAGGAGACCCAGGGGAGACTGGCGTTCTTGGACGTAATGGTCCACCGCCAGCCAGATGGGACCCTGAGCACGAGGGTATACCGAAAACCTACGCATACAGATAGAATTCTGCATTATGCTAGTAACCATCCTATGACCCACAAAGTTAGCTGCATAAGAACGCTATTTAGACGAATAGACTCCCATTGCAGCACAGCCAAAGCTAAAAGGGAAGAAAGAAACAATCTCTTCCAAATATGCAGACGCAATGGTTACCCTACCAGGTTCATCAGACGCTGTAGTATACCACCCAAACCCCGGATGAGCTTGGATATGGAGGAACTCTTGTCACAGATAACCCGTGTTACCCTTCCATACATCAGCAATGTTTCAGAAGCAACAGCCAGGTTGTTAGCCCCCCATAAAGTGAGGGTGGCTCACAGACATGACCAAACTTTAAGATCCAAAGTGATGCGCCCAAAAGACCCGCTCCCCAACATTGAAAAATCGGCAATCATATATAAAATCAACTGCAAAGATTGTCCCGTTAATTATGTTGGAGAGACTTCAAAAAGAATGAAGACTAGGGTCCATGAGCATAAATTAGCGGTGAAAAGGGGGGAACAGCACTCCCAAGTATGGGCGCACATGGCGGATTCTGGACATTGCTTTGACTTTGATAATGTATGCATCCTGTCTGGTGACAACACGAAAGAGGGCCGGTTACTAAAAGAGACATGGCTCTCTGACGGGGACTCTGTCAAGCGGCACATCGATTTGTGCCCGGCACATCTAACTTTAAGAGCATGGAGCAGGCGAGACCACGCACCCCTAAGGAGACACCCTGCGACAGTACCACGTAACCCTAGGGAAGAAGTTATGGAGGGGATGAATTTTCACCCCCCACAACAACAACAACAGCTCATGGACATTCAGGAGAATAACCAACGATTGAGGGACTCCTCCCCCCCTGCTCCAGGACCATGCACACTCTCCCGGACAGTGAGAGAACGGTTGCATGATGAGAAAGAGGCAATTAGCCAACAAACAATCATTCCCGACCCCCCGAAACCCAAAACAGCGATGATCCAGCAGCATCAGGAAAGAAGGAGGATGGGACCGGCTTGCCTGTGATGACAGCCCACCAACGGAAACAACAGAGCGCCAATGGGAACGCCCGAGAGGATATAGAGATCGAGAGCAGTGTGAATGGCGGGGGAAATGCAAATAAGGGTAGAATGTGATAGAAACTGTAAAAAAGATCACTGTGTTGATGGAGGGAGGGATATAAAGGAACCAGGCATACATATTCAAAAAAGGAGGGCACACAAGAGCTTGTGTGAGGAGGAAGGAGATATTCAAGGGATTCAGTCTGACGTGGAGTCCGAGAACATTGATAATGGGATGAAAGAGCAAGTAGATGTCAGATGGAATGGCAACGACAGAAACGGAGTTTATGCAGCCAAAGAGAGGGAAATGGAAAGCAAGGGATGGGGAGAAAGGCTGAGAGTGCGCCCCCATAGAATGAGGAATGACAATTGGGGAGCAAGTAAAGATCAGAAGAAGGAGGAAGGTAGGAGACACGGAGGTGTGAAGAGGGAACAACTTAGAGATACGAATGACCAAAAAAGGGGAGGAAAGGAGTTCCCTAATTAAAGACAGTGGGAGGTAGAGGGGAATAATGACACACCCACAAGCAGTAAAAGCAAGAAAAGAGGAGTCATCAGTATGGAAGCCGTAATTAAAAAGCAGTTAAATCAATTAGGACCTATGACAAGATCTAGGAGCCGTGTGCAAATGATGGTTCACCTATAAAGGCACTCTCCCACAGACCAGCATTAACCCTGACGATGTCAGAAGCATCTGACGAAAGCTTGGTGATCGGTGATGGTATTAAACTTTTATAGTTTATTATATTCCTGGTGTTCACGTTTTATTCGTAATTGACTATATATATATCCATACATGAAGCAAAGTGACACCCACCATGAAGATGAGGCGCGACCACGAACGCGAAGCCAAACAAGAGCAAGGCAGCCCTCCATCTTAAATCCCTCTGCAACTCAGACTATCCCAATCAGAACACAGCCAAGCTCCCACCCAATCAGTTCATACCCCACTGGCAGTTAAAAGGAAGAAACAGCTAAGACCACACATTGCTCCTCGAAGCACGAAGCTGAAAACACCAGCCTGAAGATGACGAATGGGACTTCGTTGAAATGTCGCCAAGACACTTCCAATTTTACGCAGGAGAAAACCCGAATAACCAAAGACATATATATATATATATATATATATATATATATATATATATATGTATGTATGTATGTATGTATGTATGTAATATATATATATATATATATATATATATATATATATATATATATATATGTATACACATACACACATACACACACACATATGTATCTTTAACAACGTTAAAAAGAAGACTCCCAGGTATACACATATCGTGGCAGTAATAAAAGTATCCAAACACCAGGATAAAAATCTTAAACCAAAGCTGTTTAATCTACAAAAAGTATTAAGCTTTTCTCAGCCAAACTACCAACATCGTTAGAGTGTAAAAAACACCGGATCCGGGAGTTAGTTTATATATGAGCCGAGGTGGCGCAGCAGTTAGAGTGCAGTACTGCAGGCCACTTTAGCTGACTGTGTTCAGCAGGTCAGCGGTTCAAATCTCACCGGCTCAAGGTTGACTCAGCCTTCCATCCTTCCGGGGTAGGTAAAATGAGGACCCAGATTGTTGGGGGCAATGTAATATATATATATACATTGCTTACTGGTGTACACCGCTTAGAGAGTGCTTGCACTTAAAGCGGTATATAAGTCTCATAAATAAATAAATAAATAAATAAATAACTGGCTACCTCTGTGCTCTAATCCTTGAACAGGTCATTGGTCCACTCATTAGTACCAGCCATGCTGTTCTTAAAGGGCCCGTGTTTGTCAATGCAGCCATAGCTTCCAAGGTTGCTCCCTTGCCCCCAGTCATTGTTATTCCCCTGGAGTGTGTGCAAGCACCCAAAGGGCAGCTGTCAAGTTGCTCCTGCTCTTCTTCCCCCACCCCACTCATCATATGTGTGTGTGTGTGTGTGTGTGTGTGTGTGTGTGTGTGTGTGTGGTGTGTGTGTGTGTAGGTCTTTGGTTATTCAGGTTTTCTCCCACATCAAATTGGAAGTGTCTTGGCGACGTTTCAACGAAGTCTCATTTGTCCTCTTCAGGCTGGTGTTTTCGGCTTCGTGCTTCTAGGAGCAATGTGTGATCGTAGCTGTTTCTTCCTTTTAACTGCCAGTGGGGGTTTGAACTGATTAGATGAGAGCTTGGCTGTGTTCTGATTGGATGGAGGTGTGTTCTGATTGGTTAGGAGCTTGGCTGTGCTCTGATTGGATGGGGGGGTTGGCTATGCTCTGATTGGTTGGGGGAGTGTTCTATTTGGGTGGGGGCTTTGTTGTGCTCATGTTAGTCTGAGTTGCACAGGGATGTGAAATGGTGAGCTGCATTGCTATTATTTGGCTTTGCATTCGTGGTTGTGCTTCATCTTCATGGTGGGTGTCAGTTTGCTTCATGTATGGATTGGAGGGGTTTAAAGTGGCTAATGATGCAGTGTGGTCTGGCTTCTGGTTTGTGGTCATGCCTCATCATCGGTGTGGGTTTGGGTTTGCTTTTTGCATGGACGTGTGGTGGTGACATCCTGTGTGGCTTTTGTGAGTGTGGGTCTGGTGTCATTCTTTGTGTTAGGGACTCATTTGTCACCGCTTGTCTCACCACATACATCGGACAAACCAACAGAAGAATAAGTGCACGCATTGAAGAACATAAGAACTCAGTCAAAAAAGAGGAACCAACTTCTTCCCTGGTCCAACACCTTAAAATCACAGGACACAAAAATGACTTTAAAAAGACCAAAACTATCACCAAAACTGAACACTTTAATAACAGAATAATCAGAGAAGCCATCGAGATAGAAAAACGCTCACACAGCATGAACAAACGAGATGATGCCTCCCCCCTACAGTCATTTGGAAATCCACCCTTATTGACAAACAAGTCCCTAACACAAAGAATGACACCAGACCCACACTCACAAAAATCACACAGGATGTCACCACCACACAAAGAAGAAAGAGGGGGAAAATGTAAAGAATAGAAGAGTACCGTTACAAACTGCTGTTAACAAAAAAGGATATATTACGTGTGTATGTGTGTAATGTTTGTTGTGTTTTGTTTTGTTGGTCTAAAATAATAATAATAATAATAATAATAATAATAATAATAATAATAATAATAAAGTAACATAATTAAGAGGAGGAGTTTTGACTGTAAGGCAACCATCACTATCTTGACTTAAATCCTAAAACTTTACCAACAAAACATAATTTATTAAGCGCCTTTCAATCTGTTATTTCAACCAGAGGTCTTATTCAGTTATGATTTTTTTCTTTTTTTCATATTGCAAAAATCACATGAGCAAAGCCCCACTTCTTTTCCATAGATGATGGTATCAAATGACATACAAAGGGAGGGCTTTGATTGTGCAGCGTGATTGCCGTCTTCACCTCAGCTGGAAAGGGATTAGAATGTTTGGAGTTTGGAATGACAGCATTCTGCATTTCAAATATGTAAACCAAATAAATGTAAACCAAATAAATCCAAGTACCTGGTTGCCAGGGTCACCTTTTTCTCCTTTAAATCCTGGAACCCCAGGGGAGCCCTTGGAGACAAAACATCTCTTGTCATTAAATTTATTGATTTAAATTAAATATTTAATCAAATTTAATTAATTAAACAAACTAAGCACCATTAATTTAGATGGAACACTAATAGAAATAGAGAGAAACTGATCTTACCAGCTCTCCATTAATGCTATCAAATCCTTTTTCTCCATTGCTTCCCTGCAAAGATAAAGCAAGTGGTATTATCAGGTAAAGTTCATCACAAAATCAAGCACATGTTACTGTCCTATGATTTGATACCAAGCACAAAAAGTATAGCATCCAAACTATTTTTTCTTTTAGCTCTTTTCAGGTTTTAGTTTCTGAAAGGGACAGGACACAGTAAAATATATATAGCAAACAATTTTAAAACTTTGGAAAACTTTACAAGACTATTATTACTTCCATTTGTGATAATTATTGGTTGTTATATTATTTGCAACTGGAAATTAGAAGACTTGGAGTTCTAGCCCTGTTTTAAGCATGAAGCCACCTGGGTGACCTTGTGCCATTCTCCTTCTCAGCCCTAGGAAGAAGTCAAAAGCAAAGCACTTCTGAAAATATAGCCAAGAAAACTGCAAGGATTTGTCCAGGTAGTTGTCAGAAATCACATTTGAAGACACAAATTACACTATAGTGGAATCCTACCATATATATGACAGTAACCCTGTGGTGAGATGAGCAGCCAATAAATTTGATAAATAAAATAAAATAAAATTACATTTTAGGGATTTGCTATAAGTTGGACCATTCCAGAACATTTTGAACTAGAGTTCACATAGTTTGCTTGAGAATTCTGGGTGTTATCATACCAACTCTTCCAGAAGACACATGGTGTGGAAATCTGCATTTAGGATTGTAGCTATTGAATAATGTGACTTTTAGATTCCCACAATTTCTCCAAGGAATTGCAAGGACTATATTTAATGCTGGTGCCTAATAACAAAATGCCTTTAAAGCCATGTTTCAAGATTACAAACTAGATATCTGAGAAATCCTTTGGATAGTTGTCATTAATATATTCATTTTGGTCCAAGGTTTTTTTTGGGGGGGGGGAGTTTAAAAAAAACTAATAATAATTGGCAATTAACTCTTGAATATATTATATAATTTACAAGTTTTATAAAAAGTTGCATTTTTGTAAAACAAAGAATCATGTTGGATAGCTGCCAGAGTGATTGCAACAATACATTGGAAAACTAAAGCCCTTGTCATCATTCTTTGGAACAACAAATTTTTAAAATGTGGAAACAGCTGCCACTGAATAAAGAACACATCAGAAAAAGCTCCTGAACAAAACATTAATTCAAATGCTGCATCAATGAGCCAGTTACTAAGTGATTGCTTTCATCTATCCAATTGTCTTTCTGGGCAGAAATGCAGTATTAGCTTACAAGGTAGGTGGTAATATCTACTTACTCCTGACTGAAAATTAAACAAGATCTAAACTTCTTATGTTTGGATGAGTGAGTATCAGAAAATCCCTGAACTATGAGCTAGACTGGGAAATTTAAAAAATCAAACAAACAAAATCTGGAGGAAGACAATGGTTTCCATAGTGTTGCCAAGAAAATCATGCAGATGATTTCATGAGGTCACTAGGATTCAAGCTTGCCCCCCAACAGTCTATATATTATCTTTCTTTAAGATTTAATTGTATTTATATCTGCTTCCAAACTTTTCCCCCTCGTTTTTTGTTTTATCTTATTTGTCCTTATCTTCTGCAAATCACAATATTTTTTAAACTCCTTGTATTACCCTGGTGGACTTTAAATGAGTCTACACAATTTTTACCAGCTCTATAGTTGATTACATTCATGGTGAAACTTTGATGGGAAAGCAAAAAAATAAGTTTAAAAAAGAAATTAAAGAAAAATAATGGTGAAAAGAAAATCCCCCTTTTTGGCCTTTGTCTTTTATCCAGTGCTACTAACCTCCCTGTAATATGGGGCATCACCTCCCTCATTTTATAATACTTGGATTGAAAAGGAAGACACACTTTCTCCAAACACAAGTTTTTGCCTACTTTGGCTTTCCATAACAAAGTGAGATCACATGCTTTTTATCTTTTGATATCATATGTTGCTACATTCTAATTTATTATTTTCTTGTTTGAGTGAATATTAAAATCCTCCTCTGCCTCCAAATAGCAAATATCAATAAGAATATTGAGGATATTGCAATTTCCAAAAATGGGAAGAAAGGGGGGAGGGAAATAGCTAGTCCTCGTTTGGATAAGATCTCTAATTTGAGCACATAATATTTTTCTTTCAGTCCATGCTTTTAAATTAAGTTTCTATACCTTCTCACCAGTTATTCCTCTTTGTCCCTGAAAAAGAAGAGAGAGATCAATACAATAATCTTAAATGCAGGCAGTAAGTTAAAGACTTTTTGTTAAAACTTTAAAGGTATTGGATAAATACTGTATTTCCTACCTTAGGGCCTCTATTGCCTCGGCAACCGCTGTACCCTTTATCACCATCTGATCCTGGAACCCCTCTTGGACCCTAATAATAGTGAAAATTAAAAGAAAGTTTATGGTAAAGAATTTGTATCATCTCCATGTCATAGACAGAGAATGCATTGGCTTTCACATGTTGCCAAATTATACATAGGCATGTATACATGTATGTATGCATGAGTATATGCATGTATATACATGCCCCATTACATGGTTCTCTTTGGGGATGAACAGCATTATGCAGAGCACAGGAAAAGAAAAAGGAATGTTAAATTGTACAAATTATATTTGTAGATCTTTAAACTCTGACTTTTTTTTCACAGAAACTCAAGATAGTTTTACACATTTTTCTTTATTTCTAGAAAGCTACCTAGCCAATCACAACCTTTTCTGATATCCGGGTCTCATTTAGACTAATGAAATAATTTTTTGAAATATATCTCTGCTGGACCAGATTCTGTGGGCAATCTGTGTATCCATAAACAAGGGTAACAGAAAGAAAATAATACACAGCAGTTTGAAGAAACTTAAAAATAACACCAAAGGTTCTCCCAAGGGATATCTAAACTGTGTCAAGCGTAAGTCAGAAAAACAGGAACATATTTAATGAAGATGGAAAACTTTTGAGAGAATGAGTGAGCAGAAATAATGTAATATAGAAGCAATGCTACACGGTACAGAAACACTGCATGTTGTTTTGATTCTTATCAAGATTTTTAAATTTTCTCTTTTTAGTAAATGCATGTAATGTAATTTAATAACTTACAGGTGCTCCTTCATCTCCTAAGTGTCCTGGGCTTCCTTCAAAACCTTGAGGTCCCTGAAATTATGATAAGAATAACTGAAATCAAATATCATTTAAAGAATACATAATGATCCTATCTTGTGCAAAGATTAATTATGCCTCTTAAACTAAACTGTCTAAACAAATAGATTCCCCCCCCCCGCGCTTTACCTCCATTCCGTATCTTCCTTGTTCACCTGGTTCTCCATCTTCACCAATGCATTTGCAGTACATACAGCAACAAGTCCGTTCAGCAATGTTACTCTTTCAAAAAGGAGATTGGTCACAGTAATAAAAATTACCAGTCAAAATAAAATGTATCCTTTTATCAAGTATAACATCAAGAAAACAAAGTAACAAGTTATTTTAGCATCTCAAATAAGCACCACTCTCAAATTGCATTTTTTCTCAGTTCATTACTTTGTCTCCCAGTCTTAAAAAAGATGATCAGTCAATTGATTTAAGGGGCTAGGCACTTTTTCTAAACATTTATTCAGTAGTTTTTGTTTTATTTTGTTTAGGTGGAGCATTTTTGTCAAAGAAAGATATTTCAACATGTTTATGCTGTCTTCTAACGTGATTTTTGGTTATGTGGGCAGAAGCTACAAAATGCACTTTCTAGTTGTAGTAGCTTATCTACTGGGATTTAGATTTCACAAGCAAATAATTTGAACCTAAAGCAGGTTATTGCTGCTCTTTTCAGCACAACTGGGGAAATTTGTCCCAAGTTGCTCTCTATTTTGTTTCATAGGAGAAATGTAGGTTAATTTAGTAGGGGTTTGTTTTTGTTTTGGTTTGGTTTTTGCTTTTCTTAGGTCATTCTGTTTTTGCTTTCTGATATATCAAATGTTACAATAGAACACAAAAGGAGAACTTATAAGTGGGTGGTTTCTATTATGTTGAAGTGGAACTTATGTCTGAGTGAATATCAAAAGAAGAGACAAGCCACGCAGATGAGCTATGCCAAACAATATAATCATATAGTTACACCACACCAAAGTGCTTTTTTCATAGTTTATGGCTTACATTTTCTATGAATCAGTTCACTGAACTATGAACTATCAAACTATGTTAAAAGCTAGCTTCATTCAGTTTGCAAACACAGCCAATATTAAAAGCTGTACGTCTTATTTGCCTTCGCTTCATATGCAACTTATGAGGAAAAACAATGCAAAAAGCTTTACCGATTATCATTAATTAACAATCCAATCTTACAGGATAGGGTAAAGCCAAGGTAAAAGGTTTTCATTTTTCTCTATAATGTAGATTTGTAGTGGAAGGGTAGGAAGATGGAAATATTGTCCTTTATCTGTAGCTTTTTACAGTCTTGTATTTGTTTGTATATATAGAATTGTGTCTGTAGAATTTAGAAAGGGAGGCAATCCACAACATTCTTGACAAATCCAACATATACTGGAATTTTCTGGATTGCTAGTCTAATGGCAGATCTTTCTTTCACCTCTCAAAGGATTGTAGCCAAGTTTCTTGGCTCTCAAATCACAATAGTTCATCTTTGTCCCATAGATTTAAATGATATTTCACCTATACCAATTTATTCTAGACTTGGGCCTTTAAAATTGCAGTCCTAACACCCTCACAAAGTATTTGGAAGGATTTATTTATGCCTTCATTTTTCCTGAATTGCTTACCATGTATTTGAACAATTGACTGGCAATATCTCTCATGCCAATATTCAGCTGGATCTTGTAGCCATAGCCTTTTCCAAATTCAATGAAGTGCATGTCATTAAAATTTGAAGCTCCTTCCAAAACCACAGTTATTAATGCATCCAATCCTGGTTAAAATATTTGTGATTATTTGTAAGTATTCAACTAGACTTTGTAACAAAAAATGTAATACCTACAGTTCATTCTAATACAGGTCTTAGGTTTTAATGGCCATGTAAAGATATTTTTTTTATAATGAGGCTTACAGAAACTGTGTACTAGAAACTCTGATCGGAGAAAAAAATCCAATGATGAATTTGATTAACCATCTACATTCTCACACAAACATATCCCCTAGTTTTCCACATTTAAGCAATTTATCTCTAAATCTAGAATAATACCAGGTATGTTGTGGTGGACTACAACAGATGGAAGGTTACAGAGAAGATTAGACCAAGAGTTTAGTGAAAATGGAACTGGGTCTTAAGAAAAAGGGTTAAGAATTGGGCCTTAAGCAAACAAATATTAGCTTTGTGCTGCATTTTGTCATAGTTTAATACAAACTAAACTACTTAGAGTTGTAGATTCTTTTATACAAAATATTGCAAGATATGAACTATGTTAAGGAATATTAGAGTTGAAGACTCTTTTATACAAAATATTGCAAGATATGAACTAGTTAAGGAATATTAGAGTTGAATGCAATATCTAAAGTGCTTAATTATAATAGAGAGATTAATATGAAATAAATAAATTGTAATAACAGTAAATGCTTTTGCAAATCATGAGCCATATAGCACTTGACAGGCTTCTCTTGGCAAACCTGGCACACAAAAACTTAACAACTTCTAATGTATATTGTATAAAAGTTAAGAAACCATTATGAAAGAATTTTGGCATCTGTTGTATAAGTTCTATTTATTTATTTATTAAATTTGTTTGCTGCCCATCTTGCCTCAAGGCAACTCTGGGCAGCTTACAATCTATAAAATCAATAAAACCATAAAAATAAATATTTCTAATAATAATAATACAAATTATAAGTAAAAGATGGGGAGGGCAGGATTTGCGGGGAAGGGGGAGGACAGATCCCCCTTATAGTAAAATTGGTGTTCAGGTTCTTGGGCTTTTCTCCCACCAAACCTATGACATGGGTAAGAGACCCAATTTCCATCTGCTTCTTTTCTTTGCAACAAACAAATCTGATATCAGATTGTTTTTCTCTGGCCGTAGGAGAATTAACTATCACAACACTTCAGCCATTGAAGAAGTTGACAGCAGGCATATATTGCCACTTATTGACCAAGCATAGAATTGCATTAAAAATACAATGAGCCTAATTTGTTCCTTTTTTTCTATTTGAACCTTTGCTTTATCATGGCTGATGATAAGTTTTTCTGGAAAATTAAACATTTAACATATAACTCTTATCTCAAACATCTGATAATCGGGTTCCATTTTTCCTCTTAAACTTTCAAGGCCAATTACTATGTCCACAACAACTTTATTGTGTCCAATACATCCTTTATCTCAGATTTATAGCTCCCTATTTCTCTTCTGGCTTTTCCCTGGAAAGGATTTTCTTTTTATTCAGAAATATGGGAATATAGAATAGTTACATGAAGTTAATAAAACTCATGACATACCTTTTTTCTTCAGTTCTTCTGATTTGTCTTCCAGGATTTCTATTCTATCATCCAAGCCATCTGAAAAGATTAGTAGTACCTAATATGAAAGTAAAAATAATAATGTGTGGACTATCTAAAATTGTATTATAGAGAAATGACTATGAGTACAAAGGATTAAAAACAGAAAACTCACTTTCTTTCTGTTTGCAGATTTGATTTGGAATGTTTCCCAAAGTGAATCCAAGAACTCTGCAGTAAGATGAGATGCATTGGTGATGGTGGTGCCCACAAAACTGTTTATAAGTTTTTCACTATCAATTTGGAACTTTGATGCCACCGGTGGATCTGTGTTTTTAATTTTCAATGCCACACTAGTTTGTGTTTGTGATCCTCCATAACAGCTTAGGCTAGTTAAAGATGTGAGAGCACTTATAATTTGAGGAAGATAGAATTCCAGCTGGGGCTGTCCATGGAATACATAATCACCTTGATTTTGTGAAGAGACTTCTATTCCCACAACAATATCCATGAAGCATGCTATTGTTTGTTACAAAGAAGGAGAAGATAGCATCAATTACAATCAATTACTATCAGAGGAAAAAGAAATAAAAAAAAACAAAAAAGAGCGAAAGCATGGAACAGTGGGGAAATTATTTTATGATCACTAGCTACGTCACAGCATTAAAAGGAAAGCCATGAAACAGTTAATTCAAAAACCTAAAACTTTGGATAATTTAAATCAAGGGTGTCAAACTGCTGGCCCGTGGGCCGATTTTATCATACCGGAACCGCGCCCACCCCATTACCGGCAATAGCAAAAAAGCTCCAATACGTTGCACGACGTCACGCGACATCACGAGACGTCACGAGTTTGACATGTCTGATTTAAATATTATCACTCTAAAACAATTAGAAATTTATCTGGTTCACTTTTAATGTGAAAATGCCTAATATCTACCTTCTGAATCTTTATCTGATTCAAAATGCACTCACATTCATATTTTTCATTAATTTATGATTGAATGCATCAATCCAAATTCACCTTGTAAAAATTTTATACCATGAGAATAAAAACAATTAGGGGCATATTGAGCAAAACTCACATAAACATGAATTAATGTATGCATTAAGACGGATATACAAAAATGTTATCTTGGATTACATACACATGAACTTATATAAATGTTCATGTGGGTTTATCTAAAAAATATGCAAACTGATAAACAGAATATCACTAATTACATTTGGGAAAAAAGTTAACAATAGATTTGAGAGATTTGTCCATCTCTAAACTAAATCAGAAATTAAGTCTATTTTGTTAAGTTTTGCAATTGTTTATGGTAAATATTAGGTTACATTGACATGTGCTTTAACAACAGGTTTTATTTCAACTGAAAAGAAAATAATCCTTTTTGCCCCTATTTAAAATAATTATAAGTGGCGCATTTTGAACATTCACCAAGATCCATCTTTATAATATAAGAGATCAGATCTTTATAACCTTATGATTAGATGGAACAAAAGACACGTAACCCGTTTTTTTCCAAAAGGAAAGATATTGAATTACTAGAGTGCTTGAAGTGAGAATACTTACATGTTTTATCTTCTTGCTCACAAATATCATCAATTAGTCTTTTTTTAATTACCTTCAGTTCGCTGAAATTATCAACTGTGTATTTTCTGTCTGAGGAGCCAGCTATCTGACTAAGCTGCAAATGGTCAATTCTCCCTACTCCTATGGCATATATATCAACGCCTTTCTTTCTCAGATCTTCTGCTGCTTGAACAACTCTATCATGTGACCTTCCATCAGTGATCACCAGCAAAATCTGCTGGATCTTTTCATTTATTCTGCTGCCACCTTCTGGAGTAAAGTAGAGCTTCACTTTCTTAAGGGCAGCACCAATATATGTCTGAAGTCCTTCCATCTGTTGAATACGTCTGATTTGATTTTCAAGTTCTGATTTGCGTGAGAAAATATTGAGGCTGAATTCTTCCTGGTATCTGTCACTGTACTGAGCAAGACCAACTTGCACGTTGTGGGAGGTGTCAAATGGATGAATTATATCTTGTAAAAAATTCTTCATCTTAGTGAAATCACTGTCACTTATACTATTAGAACCATCAATCAAGAATACCAGATCTGCTGGAATTCCACATTCTGCAATAGAGAAGAAAGAAGATTAAATATAATAAGGGATGAAAGTAGCTTAAGTCAAACTTAGAGAAGATTAACCAACAATAGATCCTGAAAAATAATCAGATGTTACAGACAACAACTGAAGGTTCTGCTTGTATTTTAGTTCTTATTTGTTATATTTACCTTATTTTAAAGCTTTAATTATGAAGGAAATTTCCAGTTCATAAAGAGATCATGACCTATCAGTCAGAGATTTAAGAATACCCTAGGGAATTTTTTGCTCAATCTTCTTACTTCTGGCTTGATGATACTAACTCATCAATTTATTTTGACTGAGCCCTGGAGTCCAACATACACATATTTCAGCTGAACTACAATTCTGTAAAATAGGTTGGTAGTCATGCATAAATGCAGGTGGTAAATTATATTTTGCCATAGAGATAAAGGCCCCATGGTCCAGAAAAGTATTTAGGTTTGTACTTCCCTACAATATTATTTCGTATTAGGTCTTATGTAGTTTATTTTCTTGGTAGACATAAAATTTCACTGCAAGACTATTACTCCAATATACATGTGATTAGAATTAATAAAATAAGAATTGTGAATGACCATCACTTTGGAACTAGTTTCTGATATTAGATTGATTTTGTGTTTTATTTACAAGTCAGTAAATCACAATACCATTTAATTGTGGTACTTCTTTTTTCAGAAATATTTCGTTATTTTTTTCTTAAAGAAAATAGCCACCTACCTGGTTTTGAAACACCACAAATGTTATCAGATAATCTGGGATAGAGATTTTTCAGGCCTTCAAATGTATTTACATAGAAATATCTGTCTTCAGATCCTGCCATGGCCAAGAGTTCATCTGGCTTGGCTCTTTCTATCCCAATAGCATAAATCACAATCCCGCGAGCCCTGAGATTCTTCGATACATCTTCAAGGTTTGCTGCATCATGGGAATCCCCGTCAGTTATCACTATGAGAACTTGGGGAACGTTCTGGTGCTTGCGACCACCATGTTTCTTAGAGAAAAGATTTTCTGAATGACGCAATGCCTTGGCTGTATAAGTTGTTTCCCCAATAGGTTTATCATTCTGAATAGCCTCAATAATTGCTGATTTGGTGTTGAACTGGTTCAGATAGAAAAATGTTTCTGGCTCTGCAGAATATTTGACTGCTCCAAACTGAACTCGATCATAGCCAACATCAGATTTTTTCACCAAGGTTATCATGAAATCTTTCATAATGTCATATTCTTTGGGATCTATACTTCCAGAACCATCAATAACAAAAACAATATCTAGACGTTCTATTCTTCGGCATTCTAAAATAAAAATAGGATTAGCAGGTCACATGAAAGCACGTCAAAATATCTCTCTCCTTTTGGATAAAAAACATTTATATATGCCACCTATCTTATCTAGAGGTGACTCTAAGTGGCTTACAAATCAATAAAAATAACACAAAAACATTAAAACAATAAATATTAAAACTGCAATTGAATTAAAATTCATGGAAATTCAATTAACCAGGGCTCTTGGGGCACTCTTAATACCTGTTACAAAACCATTTCTCTAGAGGCCTTCACAATGTTAAAAAAGGTAGGTCTAATAGCACTATCATGTTTTCTTATTATAAAGTTCTGCAACAAAATGTTAACATTCTGTAGTGCAATTTTATTTTATGATGGTATAATTGTTTTGAATGAGCAGTTCATGTTTCCTTCCTTAATCAAGTAGAATAGCTGCACTATGAATTTGCTTCAGAATCAAGCAACAATTTCCTAATCATCTTGCTTGCAACTCAGATAACACTTCTTGAGTTAGTTGGTTAGACTAAAATAAGTCAAATGTCAATATGAATGCGAAATAGTTGAAATTTATAATTGTCAAACCTTTGTTCATTACATTTGAAATAACTAAGTAACTATTACAGACAAGCTTCAGGAATACCGATGAAAAATGCTTGGAAACTTCAAATAATGCAGAATGAAACTTCAGGACTTTTGAATAAAATCATGGGGGTGATGGCTAAGAAGGAGGCAGGTATCTCTATCTAAGCAGCTTCACTGGCTGCATCAATAAAGAAAATTCATGACATCTTACATAGCTCTACAGCCAGAAATATTACCTAATCCTAACAGCTTCCAGAAGTTATTAGACTATAACTCTTACCACCCCTGACTATAAATCATGGTTGCAATGGCTCAGAATCACTGTCACTCATAGAAGTTGGAGCAATCTTACGTTTATCTGAACTGATCAAAAGATAGAGGAAGAAAAACACAAAAAGACAGAAGACAGACTCTGGAGAGTCTTCATTCAGTAAAATGAAGTGTAGCATAAACAATATAATATCATTTTCATGTTGAATGACTAATTCCCTTAGCTCTATAGCCAGTTTAAAAAAAAAACACCTCTTTCAACCAATGCATGGCAAGATTTAATTACATTTGAATGAAGTTTTCCTATAATGTACTTTTGAATTCTGTAGAAAGACTTGCTGAACTCTGCAATGTTAAGCTTATGTCATTAATTAGGTTCTATATTTAGCTAGTCTCAGTAGTGGGATTCAAATATGTAAACAACCATTTCTCTGTGTGGATGCTGCTTCCAAAAGTCCATTCTGGGCCTGGGCAACAAAAAATTAGCTATCGGTTCTGCTGAACTGGTGCGAACTGGGTGAATCCCACCACTGGCTAGTCTTCAATTTATCACTGGTTGCTGTTCCAAATTACAATGCACTTTTTTTAAAAATACTTATAATCCATTCTTGAAATTATGACTGACACACTCCTCCCCCACAGTCATGTGATTGCATTTCAGATCCTTAGCAACCAGCTCAAATTTACAACCAGTTGCAATGTCCCATGGTCCTTTGATACAAGTACAATGTTTTTTATCATTTTCCAGAAAAAAACAGCAACAATCCCCATTAGATATGTTGATTTCACTTAACAACCAGATGGTTTATTTAACAAACATGTGATTTGTTTAACAAATACAGTGACTCACTTTACAATCATCAAAAACACATGGTGGTAACATACACCTTAGCTGTCTACATCGTGATTGTAAGCTGATGACTACCCGTACAACAGTCAGGAATAAAAAGCTAAACAGCTTAGACATATTCACATACGTATTTATATATTTACGTAAATCTGTAAATACTGTGTGGAAGCAGTTGTGCTGGGCTTACAAAGTGACCTTTTCGACTGGAGATCACAAAATATCATAAATGTGGCCACACTGCCCAGTGAACCAGCTAAACCTAGTATTTCCTTCAGTAGTCAAATGATTGCCACAGACCCCCCTGGCTAAGCCAGTCCTGGCTAAGAATAGACTGCAGACAAACAAGTGTGATAGTGGCAGTGTTCTAAAAAAAAAAGGCCTTCTTTAATAGATGACATTCACATAATCACAGTATTTTTATCATGGGATATAAGCTCTCAGCATTTTGCCTTCTGCCTGCATCTCATTTTGATGAGCAATACATAGAATGGCCACAGTATCTATATACTGATCCTAAAACTTGGCATACTTTGGACCTTGATACATCACCTTTCTTTATATTCTATTTGATTTCATTTGTTCCTTGAATTGATCTATTTAGGATTGTTTATTGCCGCATTGAGTAAATTGCTTAAGATGAATTGGTATGTATGTTCTACTGCCTAACCTTGCCCTAAAAGGAAAACCAAGATTTGGAGATTTGAGTTTATTTTCAGGAGCCTTCAAGTGAAATTAGAGAGATGTGTTCATTTAATTAGCAGTGTGAGAAAAAGCAACTGAACATAATAAATCAGAAGGTCAACCTGCAATTAGCTTCTCTAGTGTGATACTGCCTTAGGAAATTACTCTTAGCAACTATTCTTGAACAGAAAGTACAAAAAGCCAGACTGAACAAAACTAAGGGATTGATCTAGTACTTTGTAGTTCAATGTGATTCTGTTCATATATAAGCATAGGTTTGACCATCTTGGCTCTGTTTCATACCCATTTTATAATAGGGATTGACCTCTTAGCTTGTCTTTTATAATGTCAAATTATGTCACCAACACTACACAGTAAATAAAATCCAAAGATCATTCATCAAGATTAGGTCTGAGTGATTAGTTGGGTCTCTGTTATTAAAATACATATTACAAATTCCTAGCTAATGCTATGGCAACATATAAGGATTGCAGACTGGAGCCCTATTCCCAAATATGTAGAGGCTTGTATTCCCTGCAAACTGCCCAGTTATACTCACCATCAGAAGAGCTACATATTTCAAAGACGATCTCATTTTTGAAGTACTTTAGAACCTCAAAATCTTCTACATAAAACACCATCTCGGGTTTCCCACTGATCTCCATCAGCTGTGTTTTGTTAGCCTGGAACAGCCCCACTGAGTAAATGATTATATTTTCCTCTCTCAAAGCTTCTGCATGGTTTTTCACCTCATCTTGTGCTTCCCCATTAGTTATCAGAATAAGAACTTTCTTGACATATAGCCGTGCTCCTTTGACAGGTTTGAAATAATTGGACACAAATTGCAGTGCACCTCCAGTGAGTGTGCTCTGTCCCATAAGAGACATTCTCCCAATAGCATTGTTGATATCTAGTTTTGTCAAGTGTTGATTTAGTTGAAATTCTTCTTTGCATTTATCACTGAATTGGACAACTCCAACATGCACCGTTTCTGGACTGACATCAGATTTGTCCACTAGCAACCTCATGAAGTTCTTCATTTTTTCAAAGTTCTCAGTCCCACTGCTTCTAGAGCTGTCCACCAGAAACACAATATCTGTTTTCTTTTCTTTGCAGACTGTTAGAAGAGGAATAAAATAAATATAGTAATATTTGATATATCTTTTTTATATTTACAGTAGTAAATAATATTTACACAAATATTTAAATATTTACACTAGCTGTTAAGTAAAACATATTGGAAATGAATATACTGCATTGGACCGTGGTTGTTGAAATGATGGCATCTGTACCTTTAAATATTATTTTTCAGTTGTTAAATTATCTAAAAGTTTTACTTGTTATCTTATTATATATTTGACAGCTTGTATCTTTGCAATACCCTAAGCCAAGTATATATACTACTTTTTGCTTAATTAAAAGTCTTATTTCCCAGATTACTTTTGCTAAAATAATGCAACTTTTTCACACTTCAATCACATATGAAGAAATATATCCTTGATCTCATAAGTACTAAAAAATATCATGGATATAATTCAAATTTTAAACAGACAGAAAAGTTAATCACAATTAAGTCAAATCTGGAATGCTTATATAATTATCAGTTAACAACAATAATCAGGAACAGTAACTCCATCACTAAGCAAAATGGTCATAAAGCAAAAAAAAAAATCACGTGTCTGAACCAAGCTATGACAGCAGTTCCAGCAGTTCTGGTTTCAATTGTTAAATGAATATCATGTGATTATTAAGTGTGAAGTCATGTGACTATTATTTGGGACTTCCTGCCAGCTTCCTCATTGACTTTGCTTGTTGCAAGTTGCTCTGAAAGTCATAAATTATAATCACAAGACCACAAAACACTGCATCATCATAATTGCATGCATAATTGCAATCTATTTCATTTTCTTAAAAGTTTTAAATTGCTGAAATCTATCATATTATGAAATCTCAGGAGCCTATGATGTGATAAGGGGGTCCCTATAACAGGATTAAAAGAATCAAGATGTAGTCACAACAGTCCAATCAAGGTTCCATCCACTTTTTATGTGCATATATGGCATATAAAAAACAAGTGGAGATTTGATTAGCCTATTATGGTGATTAACTTGCCTTTTTTATCATACCCTTAGATACCCCTAATATAAAATTTCCTGAGATTTTGGCCATTTCAGAAGTTAGTTCGTTAGTTAATGGCAAGCATAAGCTGTCCAATTGAAAATGACTTTGGGCGGCATGCTGTTAAAAATATGTCCAATAATTATTTAAAAAACCAAAAGGGGAAATAAGCCCAGAACTAATATAATTAACACCTGAGCAAAAAAATTCCCACAAAGCTGCATATTCCTAACCAGCCCCTTTGCCCTCATTTGCCACCCTAGAGGAGACATGCCTCTTACTTTGATTTATTTTGGCCAATGACCAGCTGGTAACAAAATATACCTGCTAGCCATTGATCAACTTTTATTAATAAAATATAAACCAAAACTATAATCCTTTACCTTCTGTAGCACAGATCTCCCGAACAACATCATTCTTTATGTACTTTAAAGAGGCAAAATCATTCACAAAATAAGCTTGATTAGTTGAATCTGCAATTGTGTAGATCTGAGATGCATTTGTATGTCCTACACCAATGGCATAAAGATTTATCTTCTCATTCCGCAATCTCCTGGCAGGCTCCTTTACATGGTCTTTTGATATCTGGTCTAATAACACAATCAGATGGCAGGGTACACTTCTGGAATGCTGACTTCGCAATTTCCTGAACAAGGGCTGAATGAATGTCAAAGCTGCTCCTGTGTGGGGAGTCCCACCAATTTGACGAATGTTATCAATGGCTTTCAATATATCATTTGTTTTGCCGTATTCCTCAAGATCAAACTCCAGTTCACTGGTTTCAGCATACTGTACAACTCCAATGCGGACTTTATTTGGGCCAATGGTAAACAATTTAACTACTTCTTTCAAAAATAATTTAAGATCCACAAAATCATAATAATCAAGGTTTGATGAACCATCAATGAGAAAATAAATATCAGCTTCTTCCATATCCACACATCCTGTAAGTGACAGAATGTTGGTGCATGATGAGATATTTAACCATTGAATACAAGTATCTTTTTGTTGACTTCTATCTTTCCCTTGGCATTACGCTAATGAGGCAACCATTGACTTGTCCATCACAGTCTTGGACCAAGCCACTGAAACTGGGTAAACAGGAAAGAAATATCTATCGTTTTTTTCAGAATACATAGATACATGTAAAATCTAGATGCACAGGTTTTTTTATATAAAAAAAAATTGACTCATGGCTACACATTAACCAGAGAAGAATAGAATTAGTGACCAAAGGCAGAATTTCATGTTTAATGTGATGATGCAAAGCAGCCAATGCTGTATTATGCATATTAACAAGCCTGAGATATTTTCCACTTTTTGTGGAATGTTGGAATAGGGTTCCTTTAGTGAAATAAGAATTCATTTAAACGTTTTGTTGAGTATTTAAATAATACACACAATAGCAATTCAGAAGAAAATTGATTACAATTTCATTCTAAATTTTATTCCAAAACTATATATTTAAAAAGCTAAAGAAAAAAGAAAACATACAATGATATTATTGTAACTCCACTACTTTTCTGCAATATCAAAGTGAGAATATGACATGATTATATATTATAATAATAAATTATGGTACATCATTAGACAATAATATTAAAATTATTTAATTTAGTTTTTAAAAAAGAAATGAAGTATCATATTGTCAGTCTTGCCTTAAAGCTGATACAAAGGCTGTTCATAGGCTGAGAGTTGACACATTTATTAACCTTTATTATTATTATTATTAATAATAATAGTAAAGTTGGAAGGGACCTTGGAGGTCATCTAGTCCAACCCCCTGCTCGGGCAGGAAACCCTACACCATTATTTATGGCTCCTGAGCTGTTGCAAACAAGTGGCACTATAGATTCCATTTTTTAAATAAAAATATTGATATCCTCCCCAAATATGCAGCCCCTAACACACCATGTAAAGCACAGTGCAAACTTTCCATTGTCATAAATCTACTATTTTAGAGTAATGAAGAATTTTCAGAAATCTTATGTGTTCTTTGATCTTTGGGTTGATCTCATAAATATATTCCTCTATAGATTTTGTAACATTTCTTACAGCTAGTTAATAAAAACTACCTTTTTATTATATATTTGAGTGCTCAGTTTCTAGAATGTTCTCACATCAATTTTGGCAAGAAAACAGTTCTTGTAGAACATGTTTACATACTTCCCTCTTGATTTTGCCTGTTAAGAGCCCACCCCTGCAAACTTTGTTGAGAAGAAATTACCTTTTTTCAGAAGTTCTGTTCTTTTGGTATCCATGTAGAGTTTCTGCTGTATTTGATTCATAATTTTCTTCTGAAAATCCAGAGATTTATTAAGCAACTGAGAAAATGTACTTAGTTGAGTAACATACTGTGGTGATGGATAAGCAGCAATCTGGGTTAGTTGTGTAATATTGGCCTCTTTAATGCCAACAGCAAATACAGTCACACCAGCTCTTCTGAGCAATTTAGCTGCATCTCTCACATCCTCTTCTGAAGGCCTGTGACTAATCAGAAGGGCTATTTGTTCCACCCCTTGAGCCTTCCTGCTTCCAGCACTGGCACTGAAGACTTTCTGTCTTGTAAAATTAATGGCAGAACCTATGTTAGCTTTTCCTGGCTTAGGCGATAGGCCCTGGATATGTTGTAGAAGGTGAATTCCATCAGTTGTCATCTGCAGTGAAGATATCACCTGGGGCTTAGTGCTGAAAGTCACTAGGCCTATTCTTATGCATTTCTCCTTCACATCCAAAGAAGATACCAGGTTTTCTAAAAAGAGCTGCATCTTTTCAAAGTTTGTTTGTGACGAGCCTGCATCCACTATAAATACTAAATCAGCAACTCCATCACTATGACATGCTATAATTAGAAGGAAACACAACGTTGCATTTTGGATTCTATATAGCTTTTTCAAGTACCTCTATTAGTGAATCAACATATCCACATTTATCCATTCCAAAGTATCTGCTTTCTGCTTTGTTTTTGCTCTGGCACATCTTTTCCAAATAGTGCCTTTCACTGAACTATAACCTCCACCCTCACTAGCCAACAAGGTTTTGGCCAGGCTGGAAAATATAGGCACATCTGGAGCACACAAGGTTACTGGGAAGAGACTGCTCTAGGTCAGTAGCATTCAGTTTTTTGGCAAGTAGAAACTACTGAGGGTTGTCAGAAAGGAGAATTATACTAAGGATAAAGGTCCTAACTTTGGGAGGGTGGGAGTTCAAATCTGTCAGCATAAAGACCTAACATGCCTATTTTCTAACTGTTGTATTGCATGAAAACTGGCAACTTTTTGGAGGAATTAAGATTTATTTCTGAGAGCCATAGAATAAGAAAGAATTATTGGTGAGTCAAGTGCATCCCCCACCAGCAGGAAATGTTTGTATAGTACAGTGATGGCGAACCTTTTAGAGACTGTGTGCTCAAACTGCAATCCAAAACCCACTTATTTATTGCCGGGTGCCAGGTAGGCATGGACTACTGAGTGGGCATGGCTGTGGGTGTGGCCAAGGTGGGCATGGTCACCTCGATGTTGGGAGGGATGCCTGTGGGGGCCAGGCAGGATTGGGGGAGATTCAGGGAGTCTCTGGCAGGTGAAGCGGTGGGAGGAGGCTCGTCCTGTGGGGTGAGGTGAGGTAAGGCGAAGCAGGGCAGAGATGCCATTGTCTCAGGGCAAGGCAAGGCAGGGGCTGAGGCAGCCGCTGCCTGACACCATTGGCCCCCACACACAGAGGCCAGTAAGCGCATGGGGGCCGACAGTGTCTGTCAGCAGCCACAGGCTGCTGGCCCCTCGACTAGCGTACTGTGGGGCTCTGCAGCCCACTACCAGTAGTTCAGAGAAGCCGCCTCTGAGCTGGACGGTCGGCCGACAGCTGAGAAGACGATGCAGTGGGTCGTGCCTGGGAAAAGGAAAGCATGCGAGGCCAGGAGGGACGTGGGGAGGGAAACCAGCCATGGTGGGATGCATCCAGCCACGTGGGACCTTGGTGAGTTAGCAAGTAGCTGGTTGAAGAGAGATGGTTGCCATCTTCGAGGCATGGCATGTGTGCCCACAGAGAGGGCTCTGGATGCTGCCTCTGGCACGCGTGCCATAGGTTCACCACCACTGGTATAGTAAATCGGGATGCAGATATTTAGATGTACTTTTATTAAATGTTTCTTGACCAGAGATCTCATAATACATCCAGTAGCACAAGGCATTATATTTAGCACTGTCTTTGCTATTTTTCTATATAATAGTATCCAGATCCCAAAGCTATTTTTTCACGAGGCAGCTGTATTTTGTTGTTTCTTGTTTCGTAAAAAAGCACCTTTGGGATAACTATGACCTGGATGACTGAGAATCTCCACAGACAATAGTTTCCAGAGTTGCATTCTTGAGATGAAATTGGAATAAATAAATAAACAAACAAACAAACAAACAAACTCATTTTGGTAAGTAGATATGCTAACTTTCCAACTACCTTTTAAACGAATCAAATTTACACTTTTGTGGCTACTACTAATTCCTTTTTAATAAATCTATTAGTCATGGAATATCTTACCTTCTATTACTGTTTTGTAATTCATGTTTACAGCTGTCATATTTAAAAGGTTTATATCAGTATTACCTATCTGAATAGCTTCAACCACAATCCTAGAAATATTCCAAGCAAATAAACTAAGATCTTCTATTCTAGGAAAGAAGAAATAAAATGGCTTTGTAGCCATCAGACGTAGTTCATCAGTAGAGGCCTCCTCCACCCCAATTGAAATGATATTTACTCCAGCTTTCCGCAGCAGCCAACCAGCTTCTTTTATATCATCTTTAGATTGTTGAGATGTAATCACTATCAAAATCTTGGATCTTTCTTCTCCAAGAATTGGTTTCCAGTAATCAATCTCATGTATTCTGTAGAGAACACTGCCAGTTTTTAATAAGCCAGTTCTAAGCACCATTTTCTTTTTGATGTGATTTAACATTGGATTCTTCCCTTTGTAGGTATCCAGTTGGAATTCACTATATACTTGATCAGTATATTGAGCAAGTGCAATACGATATTCATTAGGGCCAAAAGGTAAAATCTTGATTACTGTACTAATAAATGTTTTGACATGCAGGAAAGATGTATTACTACTGGAAACCAAAAACATAATATCAACAGGCTTGGAAACTGAAAAAGAAGAAAAGATATAATTATATCATGTAATGCTTAAGCATTATGGCTATAAAATAAAATGTTCAAGTATTTCAGTACATTTTCAAAGAACCCAATAAAGTGAACTATGCAACTGGAAGCTAAAAGCCTAAAACTGCTTTTCAACACTTTGTAGAACAAATCATAAGGTATAACTAGAAAAGGCCCATAATCTGTCATGGACCTTGAAGTGCAGTCATTAGAGTCCTCCAGCATTTATTGCCACTTAGAAGCTGGCAAGCTGGCAAAGGGAAAACATTGTTTAAAATATGATTAGAGATTAAAATTAATTTGACTTGTTTTAAGTGAGATGGTTGGCTATATAAGTGTTATTAATAAATACATATTTAATTTTAATTAGAGCATTGAATTTAATATTGGAGTTCATGTTAGCCCATGACAAAAGAGAGCTGGGTTCGTGGCAGTCCTTATATGTAAAGGCTATTGTGTAATCTTGGGCCAGTTACTATCTCATCTACTGCCCAACAGAGAAAAGTTCTAGTTATGGAGGAAATAGAGGAGGGAGGTCTATGCAAGCCCCTTGAATATCCCAAAGATACTTTCTTTCAAAAGGCAACTGGACTTACTTGTTTTGATATAAGATGTTTTGCTTCTCATCCAAGAGGCTTCTTCAGTTCTGACTGAATGGTGGAGAATGGATGGATTTACATTCCTTGCAGTCATATGGTCATTAGCCCTCTGAGAATCTAATGACATGACATGACTGCAAGAAATATAAATCCTTCTATTCTCCACCATTCAGTCAGAACTGAAGAAGCTTCTTGGATGAGAAGTGAAATGTCTTCTATCAAAACAAGAAAGTACAGTAGCCTTTTGGAAGAAAGCACCAATGGGACAACCATGACCTGGATGACTGAGAATCTCCATAGACATTAAGCCTCTTAAATTTCTTTCCAGAGGACCCCAGATGGCATTTTGTTTAAGATGCCTTCATAGCACTATATTTTAATTCAGATATTAATCTTTTCCCCAAAGAATGAACTGTATTTGTATGCAAAGAAATTTACAGGGAACAGCAGAATCCTCTCTTTCTATTCCTCTGTCTTCTGCACAAATACATCATCATAGGAGGAAACAATATTATTTCAGTTTTTAAATATCATCTGCTATTCATTCCTGAAGACTCGTGGAAAAGTTAAAGGCATACTGGAGTGCAATTCAGCAATTTTTAATGAGCAAAACAAACTAATAAAAGTATTCTCATTTTTAAAAATTGCAGTAACACTGAAAAAAGATTTTTAAAGTTCTCCAGATAGAAAATTGAAATAAGTAGGTCATCAACTGGCCATTAAAAAAAAAGTAAGTCTGAGTAGCAGTCTATTTCTCAATCAATCAAAACCTATCAAAAATAGTGCCATAAAAAACAAAATAGAAACACAAGTTAAGATAGGCAAGAAAATGGTAAGTGAGCACCTGTCCAGCCTAGATGAGTTCAAATCACCAGGACCAGATGGATTACACCTCAAGATTCTGAAGGCACTGGCAGGTGAGATCTCAGAACCACTGAACTATATTTTTCAAAGATCCTGGAACATAGGGGAACTACCAGAGGACTGGAAAAGAGCTGATGTAGTTCTCATCCTCAAAAAAGGGAAAAAAAATGGATCCAGGAAATTACAGACCTATCAGCCTGACCTCAATACCTGGGAAGATCCTGGAAAAGATAATCAAACAACGAATCAACGAACACCTAGAGGCAAACAAAGTCATTACTAAAAGCCAACATGGGTTTGTCAAAAATAGATCATGCCAGACAAATCTTATTGCATTCTTTGACCAAGTGACAAAATTAGTGGATCAGAGGAATGCTGTGGACATAATTTACTTGGACTTCAGTAAGGCATTTGATAAAGTAGATCACAACCTACTACTTGACAAGATAGAAAAATGTGGGGTAGACAGAACCACCACCAGATGGATCCGTAGCTGGCTGACCGGCCGTACTCAGCGAGTGGTCCTCAATGGAACTGCATCTATATGGAGGGAAGTGTGTAGTGGGGTGCCCCAGGGCTCTGTTCTGGGCCCAGTACTCTTCAACATCTTCATCAACGATTTGGACGAAGGGATAGATGGGGAACTCATCAAATTTGCAGACGACACCAAGCTGGCAGGAATAGCCAACACTCCAGAAGACAGGCTTAAGATACAGAAGAATCTGGACAAACTTGAACACTGGGGATTAACTAACAAAATGAAATTCAAAGATGAAAAAAGCAAGGTTCTACATTTAGGCAAGAAAAAACAAATGCACAAGTACAGCATAGGTGGCACCATGCTCAATAGTAGTAACTGTGAGAGGGACCTCGAAGTCCTAGTAGACAATCACCTAAATATGAGCCAGCAGTGTGCTGCAGCTGCCAAAAAGGCCAACACAGTGCTAGGCTGCATTAACAGAGGGATAGAATCAAGATCACGTGAAGTATTAATACCACTCTACAATGCCTTGGTAAGGCCACACTTGGAATACTGCATCCAGTTTTGGTCACCACGATGTAAAAAAGATGTTGAGACTCTAGAAAGAGTACAGAGAAGAGCAACAAAGATGATTAGGGGACTGGAGGCTAAAACATATAAGGAACGGTTGCTAGAATTTGGTATGTCTAGTTTAACGAAGAGAAGGACAAGGGGGGACATGATAGCAGTATTCCAATATCTCAGGGGCTGCCATAAAGAAGAGGGAATCAAGCTATTTTCCAAAGCACCTGAAGGCAGGACAAGAAGCAACGGGTGGAAACTAATCAAGGAGAGAAGCAACCTAGAACTAAGGAGAAACTTCCTGACAGTGAGAACAATTAATCAGTGGAACAGCTTGCCTCCAGAAGCAGTAAATGCTCCAACACTGGAAGTTTTTAAGAAGAGACTGGACAGCCATTTGTCCGAAATGGTGTAGGGTTTCCTGCCTGAGCAGGGGGTTGGACTAGATGACCTCCAAGGTCCCTTCCAACTTTACTTTACTACTATTATATTATTTAAAACATCTTCTACCTCTTGTGTCACTTGCCAGCCTTTTCTCCATCTCATTTAAGGAAACTGACCTCTGATTTGCATGTACTCTTTGAATTCTAAGAACTATAAATTCCGAAGTGCTGGAGGCTAACTGGTTGAAAAGAACTGCTGATAGCAATCCTTTGTTATATGCTAACTGTCTTACATTTTTCACAATAATTCAAACACATCTTTCTTTTGGTGTCATATTCATGGAACTCCTGTTTTATACTACTAAATCTTAGCTGTTTCTAGGTAAATCTTACCATTAGGGAATTTTTAAAAAATCTATTATACCTGGTTTCTGAGCCATGAAAGTCTGTGTCCCAGTAACTATGAAAATTAATATCAACAGCATTTTCAAAGTTTGAGCAATGTTCCAATCCTTAGCTGTAAAGTAAAAAAAATTAAATGCCATTTATATTTATTTCACATGTAATTGCAATTAATTTTGAACTGTATGACAAGAGAATATGACATAAAGATGAGCCAGGGCCTAAAACAAAGGCCAATATTTGCACACACAAATTCACATATTTGATATATATATAAACCCATACCATGTATGCCAGGATATTATCCTCCAGTAATATCCATAGGGACATGAAAACAGGCAAGATGATAGTCACAGCGTCATGATTGAACCCAGTTTCCTACTTGTACATGTATTGATGCATATCTAACTATTGAAGGCAACAGACTACCTTAGAAAATGGTAGACAGGCTTTGTAGTGGGTTTAATTTTTTCTCTCACAGAGAGTTATAGTTGGGAAATAATAGTCAGGACAAACACTAAGGGGACTGCAGCTGGTGTCTCTACAGCATCTGTTGTATGAGGTGGCTAGTTGAACATTTCCCTTTTAAAACTATTATCAGAACTAATTATTTCATTTTACATTTTGGCAAGAGCTTGTCTACAAACCTATAGATTCAATTTACGTTAAAACAAGTTTAACTTTGGCTAGACATGGCTTATTCCTCCACAAAGGTCGGCAAGCATTCACAACCTAAGTCTTGCCTGTTGTACTTGAGAGCCATGCAAACAATCCTTAGAGACTCCAAAAATTGCCAGCAAATTCCAATTTAATATGTTTGAAGAGAAAGTAAGCAAATAGAGAATTCTAAAATACACTGTAATTAGTTTGAATTAGGAACTTTATTTTAATCTTGGAATCCTTTTCTTTTCTAATTAGTTTAGTAAAGGTCTTAGCCTAAAACCATGTATGAATCCCTGTCATAGACAATTGTTTTCAGTTCATATCAACTAGGTTCACATATTCTCTAAATGCGAATCAGGCCTCTGCTTCTAAGGGGCAGTAATTTCTGGGCTCTTAAATTATTATTATTGGGCCTTGAGAACAGTTGATAAAATAATTCTATCTCAAATACTATGGCACAACATTTATATCTGTAAACTATATCAGCCTTTTGAGGACTTTTTAAAAGTCAGCCACTAATTTTGTTCCATTTTGTTGCAGTCAATATGATATAGCAGTTAAGGCTGGGAGACTATAAGTTCTAGTCTGCCTTAGACACAAAACCAGCTGGATAACCTTGGGCCAATCATTCTTTCTCAGCTCTAGAAAGGAGGAAAAACTCGGCAAGGATTTTCCAGGTAGTTGCAAGGAGTCACTACTGACTTTACAGCATTAAAAAAGTTTCATTTTAAAAACAACACTGCATTCATTCTTTAACATCACTACTATCCTTTGCATTCTTGTCCCATGACTACATTATAAACAATCAATCCCTAATAAAAAAAGTGGTTCCACTCAAAGTAAGTTAGTAAATGTGTCACAAATTTGATTTTCAGATAAAGTTTCTAGCAAGTTTCAAAAATCAAGATATCATTAACTTGCTTTAGCTCCAAAAGACACAGTTGGTTACACTCTATTGCTCAGATTTTCTGAGGAGATAGAATGCTCAGAATGTTTGCTGTGCGAACATTCAAACACATGGTAATGTCTGAACAAGTGCTATATTTGTATACTGATCTTCCATCCGATGAGGCCTCATTTTTTCCATTCTTTGACATAAATGTATAATTTCTTACACAGGACAGCAGAATGTATGCTGAAAGCCAAATGTCTTGGCAAGGCTTTAATTTGCTTTGCATATGGTATTAATCTTCAAAAGCCAAACTAAGTCCCTGAACATCAAAATGGACTTGATAAAATATATTTATATTTGTAAACTAAGTAAAGTGTAGAACAAAAATTAATTATTCTGCAGCTTAATTGTGGTTTGCCTTTTTTTCACCAATTCAAAAGGTGTTCTCTCTCATTGTTTTTTAACAACACCAAGGAAGTCCGTTATTGCTGTGATAAATAAGAAGGTTAAAACATCTCCCCACAATGATAAAGCAGTGTTTCAGTATACTATAATCTATACATTTTTTTAAAAAAATGTTATTACCATTCTAACTTATAGGATTTGAAGCTGGCTATTATGGATCCCTATTGCCTAAAATCACTGTCAAGTACCTACTGATAGCAAACAAACTAGGTGATCCTAATTTTTGCATTGCTATGCAAAGATGTTATACTACAATAAGGAAATGTTCTTCCTTATTAAAATTTCAAAGGTTTTGTCAAATTGTTGAATAAACTGATCTATATCTGATTTAGATTATCCTAACATGATGAAATCTCCAGTGGAGACTGCTAATAAGCACTTTGCCCTTTAACAGATGTCAAAATAAAGCTACAAACAATGGAATCAATTGAATATCAAAAATATAACTCAGAATCTGAAAGATTAGTCCTATCTCCCAGATGAGATCTGCAGTGTGAGATTAGCCATTTGCTAGAATATCACATAGATTACAAAAAGGTTGTTATATTCAACTCTCATTATGATTCTAACAAAATTCACTGTTATGTAGGCTCAAAATACTTTTCTGCTTGAGGCAAAGAGAACAAACTTGTCCTCAGTATAAAGGCTAAACCAGTCATTTAGTCATCTGAGGCAAATAAAAAATTCCATAAATCTCTTCTTATAATAATATTAGTCTCTTCTTATAATAATAAAAAAACATTAACAGAATAGCAGAGTTGGAAGGGACATTGGAGGTCTGTTAGTTCAACGCCCCCTGCTCTGGATCTAGGCCAGATCCAGCCCACGATTTAGATGTGGCCCAGGGGGCCACCCTGGAGAGGGCAAGAGGCTGACCGCTGCTGCCTCGGCCATGGCCCACCCCAGCCCGACCAAGTGCTTCACCTGGGCGCGTGTACAGGAGGCGGCGAGTGCAAGAGGACTGGCAATGGCTGGAAGCAGCTGCAGCTCCTTGGCCCTTTGGCAAGCCAGGGCATCAAATAAGCAGCACTCAGCCCTGTCAACAACAACAACAATAACAATAACAATAATAATAATAATGATAATGATAATAATAATAATTGGACTGGAAGGGACCCTGGAGGTCTTCCAGTCCAACCTCCTCTCAGGCAAGAAACGCTATACCATTTCAGACAAATGGCCGTCCAGTCTCTTAAAAACTTCCAGTGTTGGAGCATTCACAATTTCTGGAGGCAGGTTGTTCCACTGATTAATTGTTCTATCAGGAAATTTCTCCTTAGTTCTAGGTTGCTTCTCTCTTTGATTAGTTTCCATCCATTGCTTCCTGTTCTGCCTTCAGGTGCTTTGTAGAATAGCTTGAGTCCTTCTTCTTCGTGGCAACCTCTGAGATATTGGAACACTGCTATCAGGTCACCCCTCGTCCTTCTCTTCATTAAACAATACATGCCCAATTCCAGCAACCATTCTTTATATGTTTTAGCTTCCAGTCCCCTAATCATCTTTGTTGCTCTTCTCTGTACTCTTTCTAGAGTCTCAACATCTTTTTTACATCGTGGTGACGAAAACTGGATGCAGTATTCCAAGTGTAGCCTTACTAAGTCATTCTAAAATGGTATTAACACTTCACGTGATCTTGAATCTATCCCTCTGTTAATGCAGCCTAGCATTGTGTTGGCTTTTTTGGCAGCTGCAGCACACTGCTGGCTCATATTTAAGTGATTGTCCACCAGGACTCTGAGATCCCTCTTACAGTTACCACTATTGAACAAGGAACCACCTATACTGTACCTGTGCATTTGGTTTTTCTTGCCTAAATGTAGAACCTTGCTTTTTTCACCATTGAATTTCATTTTGTTAGACAGCACCCAATGTTCAAGTCTGTCAAGATTCTTCTGTATCTTAAGCCTGTCTTCTGGAGTGTTGGCTATTCCTGCCCAGTAGCTTGGTGTCATCTGCAAATTTGATGAGTTCACCATCTATCCACTCATCCAAACCATTGATGAAGATGTTGAAGAGCACTGGGCCCAGAACAGAGCCCTGGGGCACCCCACTACACACTTCCTTCTATGTAGATGCAGTTCCATTGAGGACCACATGCTGAATACGGCCTGTCAGCCCGGTACAAATCCATCTGGCGGTGGTGCTATCTAACCCACATTTTTCTAACTTATCAAGTAGTAGGTTGTGGCCTACTTTATCAAATGCTTTACTGAAGTCCAAGTAAATTATATTCACAGCATTCCTCTGGTCCACTAATTTTGTCACCTGGTCAAAGAATGCAATAAGATTTATCTGGCATGATCTGTTTTTGACAAACTCATGTTGGCTTTTGGTAATGACTTGGTTTACCTCTAAGTGTTCACTGATTCATTGCTTGATTATCTTTTCCAGATTCTTCCCAGTTATTGAGGTCAGGCTGATAGGTCTGTAGTTTCCTGGATCCATATTCTATTCCTTGTGCTTACATAATGTTGAATTCCAATATTGCATGATCATTCCCCCCCACCAAGGTTCCTGTGGCTTCAATACCTTTTATCATTTCATCTCTGTTAGTGAGAATTAAGTCCAATACAGTTGATCCCCTAGTTCCCTTCTCTACTTTTTGGAGACAAAGTTGTCTGCTAGGTTTGACAGGAATCTGTTTGATCTTCCATTTGGTGCAGAGTTTGTCTCCCAGTTGATGTCAGGGTAATTAAGTCCCCCATTACTATTGTGATGTGCTTCCTACATACCTTAGTTAACTGACTAGCAAAAAGTTCATCTATTTCCTCTTTTGGTTGGGTGGCCTATAGAATACACCTATGGCAATGTCATTTTTCCTTTTTTATATTGACCCAAATGCCTTCAAGACCGTTTTCATCATTGTTATGCTCTATTTCTGTAGAGATGTAGTTATTTCTTATCTAGAGAGCAACTCCAGCTCCTCTTTTATTTAGTCTATTTCTTTTAAATAATTTAAATTCCTCTAACTGTGTGTTCCATTTGTGTATTTCATCCCACCAAGTTTCTGTAATGGCAACAATATCATATCTGCCCTCATTTACCTGAATTTCTAATTCACCGTTTTTATTGCTCATACTCTGTACATTGGTGTA